GCTTCTATCAGGCGTTTGGTGATATGAGGCAGCCAAACCTCTTGGGTTGGAATTTGAGAAAAGCAGCTGCAAAAAAACGTCGACATGTTTTTTTTTTCTTTCTTATAATTATTTGTTTTTTGTGTCTAAAAACAAAATGAACAACAACAACCAAAAAAAAAACATGTTGACATACTTACGTCATAATCGGTAATGCAAATAAGCATTTATACAGCATGCATGGCATTTATTGCTCTGTAAGGCTCTTTCATTTAATCCTGAATAGAAAGAGGTTTGGCTAAAAGCGCCAGTTTTATCCAGTGAGACTAACTTGTTTGGTGTTTGGTTTTCTGGCTAATGTATGACTTTTTTCCCCCTCCCCTCTTCTACCGCTGCTGTTCATTCCACCCTCCCTCCAGCTGAAAAGAAGATTAATGACAGTATTTCCCACTCCTAAAGAGCGGGTAAGGAAGGTAGCCTGGCTTGAAACCTGGCCCGCTTGGCCCTCAGGCCTCACGTGTGCTGCTACAAATGATGTCAGCTGCTTCAGCTAGTGCCTCAGACAAACAAAAAACAGCTTTGCAGCACTAAAATGTATTTTACCACAGGACAGAAAAAAAAAGAGACTGAAGCCAGGTAATGGTGCATAAACAAGACATGCTATGCCCTAACTTTCAACTGACTCATAAAATCTGACTTTTCCCCCCCGTCAGAGATGAAGTTTAAATATCGCCTGAAGATCATCCTCATCCCTCTCTAAAATGTGTTGCATGTCGTCTGGTGTTACCATGTCCGCCATATGTGTCTTTGCTAACTGTCCTCTGCAGCGTGCTCAACAGCTGTTTGGTCAGCAGGCATGGGGAAGTAGAAATGCACATTCATTTAATAACACAGTTTTGTTTATTGGCCTAAACTTTGTTTTCTAAGTTAGTTGACCAACTAAAAAGCTTGTTGATCACTGTTATGTAAGCAGTGCATTTTTCGCAGTAAAGTGTTGCTCTTTCTGCATCCCCAAAGCCTTGAATTTGTCTTTTATTGTACAGATGAAATTCAAGGTTATGGGAATCTTTCATCTACTGTTGGATCGTTTGTGCTCTCATTTGGGTATCGTGCCTCACAAAAGTATTCATACCCCTTGAACTTTTCCTCATTGCGCCATTTGACAACCACAAAGTGTGGCGTACGCTTGCACTCAGCCCCCCTTTACCTTGATGCCCTTCAAACAAAAATGCAAGCAATAGTTTTATACTTTGAAAATGCCAACACTATCGACTGTGCCTCTTTGCACTAAGGATGAGCTGAATGAGAAAATAGGAAGTAACATTTTAATTTACTTATTAGTGGATCTTTTTCTGTCTGAGTGAAAAGCAGAAAATAGAAAATGAACGAAGTCCTCTACATCCACTTATCTCCACTCACTCTGCCTGTATCTAATGCTAATGTTGATGTTCAACTTTATAGAGTTGTGCAACTTATGAGCATCTTTCCGGATTTTATTGGACAGGTGGGATGGAGTTAAGTAATTATTGGATGAAAACCTCTTGAAATGAGCAAAATACAGGGCAGAGCAGCTGTAAAATATGGCAGCATCATATATACCGTTTGATCTATTTTCATGTCCCAGTACATAGAATTTTGTGGTTGAGGATGCAAAAAAGGGGTAAAAATGCTTTTGCAATGCACTGTGTGTGTACTTTGCTGAACTTTGATGATGTAAAGACTCAGCTGCCATTTTGTTAAAAACACCTGAGCGAAATGAGCACAGCAGCAACTAATTCTCGAATCGTTGAAGTAACAATTATTTCATCTTCATGATGATTATAAAATACGGCTTTCTATAGGATTATACAAAAATAAGCTTAGCTGAGCTCGAGCAAATATCAGAGAACAAACAGTTCCTCAGGTCAATTCAATAAAATGGAAACTGAGTTTGTCTGTTTGCATTTGTTGCTTGAAAACTCAGAAGTGAACCTTTTTCAGGGTTGACCTCCAAGTCGTCTAACGTGTGCGTCTCCTCCCTGTCTCTCACCCCCTCTTTCCTCACCTACTCACAGATCTCCGAAACCAGCCCTTCCTGAGAGTCGATGCCTTGATCCGGAGCGGTTGGAAGAGACCCTAAACCACTTACCTGCCACTTATACTTCCCTTTCCCTTTATAACACTTGTCCCTGTTTCCCAGTGGTCCCTCTCAACCCCTGAGGTTGCAAATCGCAAAAAAAAAGGACTAAAAAGGGAGGAACAGGGCAGAGCTCTTGTTTTGGCTGAATAATTTATTTATTTATGGAGGTCCTCCTTAGCAACCACTTTCAGCAGGCAGGTATCATTAACCAAGCACAATGAGGATCCTTCTCCTCCAACCCTCCCTGCTGCGCCGGTGCTGAAGGTCAGACCAGTTCAGTTGGAAGGCGACTGCGACAAAGGTGAGACTAGTCTCCAGAACCCGTCCTTACGGGTCCTTACTCGACTGCAGGAGTGAGACCGGGAGGCGGTCCGGCTCAGTCTGCCTCAAAGACATTTGCAGAACAATCTTCCAAAACGACATGTCGTAATCGGAGTCTAGCGGACTATTTATTGGAGTTTTGCCAAGCCTTTCTCGTCATGTTCAGTCGAGACTCGATGTCAAGGAATGTTTATGTAGATCGTTCTCGAGAGGAAAACGTTTCCTGGTTCGTCTAGATGAAGCTATTCCAACCAAAATGTCTCCAATCATATCTTTCTTAAGAAGTGCCTTTTGTGTAAACAGTGTTATTGTTGTATGTCAGCCATAATTTGTTACTTCATTTGGTGAAGATTGTACTTTTTTTTTTATTTTGGCCTCGTGCTATTACCTGCAGCCTTGTAATACCCACAATATGTAAGCTGTAAATCAGGCTTTAGCAATACTTAGAAAGTGATTTCTAATATTTACCCTTCAAGTAAAATAATCTGACATAAGTTATACTTGGGTTTGGGGGGGGGCTTGGGTTGAGCTTATCCAAGTAAATGTAAAAAAAAAAAAACAATTGAATGTTACTTTATGTATCTTGACAACACTTCCTGTGACACATTGGGTGGCATTTTGAAAGTGACTTATTTGCCAGGAGGTCTCCAGATGTACACACAATGTGGAAGATATTGGTCGTAAGATGCATCTCAATAAATTAGAATATGATGAAAATCTAGTTGATTTCAATATGTCAATTAAAAATGTGAAACTCATAGATTGATTGCACATAGAGCATTATACTTCAGATGTTTATTTCTGTTTGGTTTGCTGATTGTAGCTTGCGGCTAAAGAAATCCAAATTTAGTTTCTTGGAAAATCAGAATATTTGACCAACAAGAAAGGACTTTTAATATAGAAATGTGTGCAGTATATGAACTCAGTGTTTAGTAGCATGGCATGGAGACAATCATCCTGTGGCTCAGCTAAGGTGTTAATGAAACTGAGCCTGCTTTAATGCCGTCCTTCAGCTCGTCTGCATGATTGGATCTGCCATGTCATCTCCCTCTTGGCCATGCTCTGTAGTTCTCTCACAGTTTAGGGCAAGAGGGTTAGCAATGTGAGATTTTTAAGCCCGGTATTCTTTAAAACATCCTGATAGATGGCCACGCGGACTTTGGACTTGAGCAGCGGACGACGCAGCTCTTCGAGTCACCAACACCTGTGAAATCTTTAACCTGGACCTCGCATAACTCGGGCTCTGAAATCGTCTGTGTGTGGTTTCTCTTGAAGCGCCGACCCAAACTCTAGCTTGAGCTTTGATTCCGAATCTTCTTCAAACCAGTGACAATCTCTGATGCCTGTGGACCCGATTTTCCAAACATGTTCCTTCCAATCAACTTATTTTGCTTGGATTCAGCAGTTTGTACATCAGAGACTCCTTCAGGTTTGCTGATTGTCACAACTGTAGAAACTTTCTATATCGGTAGCTTTATGTTTGCATATTCTATTGAGTCAGTTTAATTCTTCAGATTTTCCAAGAAACAGAATAAACACACGCAGAAAAAAAAAATCAGCTTGTGTTTTTGCATGGATTTAAATTGAATTCCTGAAATTAATTTGCACTTTTGTGATATTCTAATTTACTAAGATGCATCAGTACATGCGTGTCTCTAAGCTCTTGTTTAAGTCATGGCAAATGATTTGTTCTTACACTACATACTTTGGCTTAAAATAGTATAACACTATTCTTTATGAGAAAGGTTTTATTAATGTAAATTTAAAAAAAAAATCAAGGAATGTTCTTTATGGAGAAAAAAAATGATTTCTGGGATCATCAAGTGCCTGAAAGGTGACACTTTCTGTTTAATAAACATGTTGAATAAGAACCTTCAGACTGCAGGGTCATGGGGAAAAAAAAAGTTTTTGGCTTCCTTTCTTTAAGCAACATTCAAACAAACAATTTCTACATCTTTGTGTTTTATTTCTTAGGATCAACTAAGATACTCTTTCTCCATTTCTCTCCAAATGACAGACAAGGCCGTTGTACATTTCTACTAGAAAAATCCATTTAATTTCTTATATAAAAAAAAAATAAAAATCAGATCCACAAACCTGTGGGCTTTTTGCTACCAAAGAAATCCTCCAACCAAAACATGATTCTAATTTACATGAGTCATTTTGAACAGAAAGTTAAAACTTAAAAAGGTGATGAATACTGTTAACAAGTGAAGGGTAAAGCCAGATGTTCCTGGCTTTACACACACACACAGTGTGTGTGTGTGTTGAGTTTGATCACCACAAGGTGTGATATGGCAAGTATGGCTGACCGTTTTTTAAAGAAAAAGCAGCACAGTGTGCAACACTGAGACAAACGGAAGGTTAGCAGCGAAGCAAAATTAAAAATAAAAAACGCTCATCAGGAACAAATCAGTCTCACTACTTGGAATGGATTCTCGTTGAGCATTTAGCTAAATTACAGTTAAACCTAACAGAAAAAAAGTTCAATATCACACATGTCGTACCATCAGTCGGTCTCCCTGGCCTTTCCTGAAAGAGTACAATCAAAAGACAAGAAACGGAAAAAAAAAAAAAAACCCTAAAATGCAACCTCTGCTCGTTTTCAGTGAGTTTAGACAATTTTGCCTCTTTTTTTTGTTGTCCCCTCTAAAACAAACTATGTGGAGCAGTGTCACCACTCCCATCACGTCCCACAGATATCTAAAAAATTAAAAATAATAAAACAAACCCAAGGCCACAGATATCCATTCCTGGATTTTTTTTTCCTTTTTTTTTTGTTAAATCCAGGAATGTGGACTTACAATCATCCTCGTTAAACGCTCAAAAAACTGCAACTGAATCATTCATTGCTGCTGACGAAGATTACACAAGGACTTGAAAAATAAAATGTTAAAAAGTACAGACTGCTATTTGTTACTGTTTGTTTGTATTCCTGGGTAATATTTTCAAGACACTTTGTTAAAAGATTCATATATATTTTTTATATATATGGAAATATAGATTTTTATATATATAACTTTAATCTGTGCAAGGAGGTAAAAGACAATCACTTGAATGTAGCTGCTGAGTCCTCTGTGTGCATTCCTCCGTCAGTCTCCTTCCGGCAGCAAACTAAACATGCACATCTAAAGTGGAAAGCATCCAGGAAGCACTGACATTACTCTTCTGAGCAACTAAACACTGGGCAACTTCTTCCTCCAGGATGGAATGATAATCCCTTGCTTCTCTCTGTCCCCCCCCCAGTACAATCCATACGCCCCTCTCCCCCGAATAAAAAAACAAATAAAAAAACTAAATAAAAATATGACATCTGCTCCACAGCCATGTCTCTCTCCATCTTTTACATTTGCACAGAGGTAGTGGCTATATGTAAGGAGGAAGTGAACAAAATTAAAAAGAACTGATAAAACGTCTATAAAATGGTTTGCTTTTCCCTCACCGGTTATTTTTTTTTGTTTGTTTGTTTGTTTTTTCTATGTCAAGGAACAAAATATAATACTGCAATCACTTAAAAAAGTAGTCCTTCATTTTTATACATTTTGTACAGAGTTCTTGCCGTTGTTTTTCTCCTTTGTTGCTTTTCTTTTCAGCTGGTAAAGGCATAAGATGAGAGAGAGAGAGAAAAAAAAAGAGGGAGCTTGCTGGCTCAGCTCTGGGTGGGAGGAGGCGGGCGACGTCGGCAGAGATCAATCCCGGCTGAGCTCTACGCCAGCGGGTCATTCATGTCCTCGTCGGTTTGGGACAGAAGCTCCTTCTTTTCGTCCGTGCTGGCCAGGGAGTTGCGGCTGTTGTGGGCGCCCATGTACAGGGTGGCGTACACAGGGTTGGTGAAGTTGGTGGGCTGCCGGGCACACGAGATTACAAGGTTGCTCAGCTTGTTATACAACACAGAATGTAAGATCTAGCGCACTTAATTCTGAACTTTTTATTTTGAAACTCTTCCAAAATATTCTAGTGCAACTGTAGGTTATCCAATTTTATTGATTTCTCCAAAGGTTTTTTTCATTGTTACCTTATCTGGGTCCAAAGTGAAGTCTGAATCTAGCAGCTCCCCGGCCTCGTCATCAGGATCTCCTTCATAGATCTTATAGGCCGGGTTCCCGATCTCAACATTCATGGCTCCGTTTGTCATCCGGTGATGCTGGAATCCCTTGGCACTGCAGAGTGAGAAACGCCGTCATTAATCCTCTTTATTCAAAACTATAACATCTGCAGCTCTTTGGGAGAAAACGCGAGTCAAACAAAGTCAAAAGGGAGACAAGTTTAACAAACAAAATCAAATAAGCCAATCATTTAAGGTCAAATGAGCCTTTTTGTTTAATTAAAAAAAAGGCCATTTGATTAAAACGATCGGGTATACAGCAGCATGTCTTCTGCAAAGAATGCTGGACGTTGCAAATATTCAGCTCTTTGCAGCTTCTGAAGAGTTTTTTTTTTCTTCAAGTTAATTCACAGCTGAAGAGTATCCTTGCAAGCACATAAAGATCGACATTTACACACTTAAACACAACATGAATAGTTATGGAGATGGCAAAAAGGTGTAACAGTTCAGTTCCCCATGCTGCTGCTGATGGGGAATCCCTCACAGGGGTGGTTAGGAGGCAAACAGGAAATGGCAAGCAAATACAAACCGACTTAAAGAATAGAGAAATAAAACAGACAGAAAAAAAAAAGCAAAGCCACTCTGACTGTATATTGAAAGAAGGAGAAGCTATGAGGTAATTATTTAGCCCTATCGAGTTACCGCGAGCACTGAGAGCGAGATTTGCCTGAGGACAGAAACCTGGGAGACAGGAGATAGATGCTGTTATCAGAATGTAACACAGAAAGAGAAGCTGGAGAGAAAAGGATGAAAAGTGGAATTCGAGTCCCCCCCCCCAAAAAAATGTGCCTTTTCTTTTTTTTAAATTCAGCACTCACCCACGCATTCTCCGCTTGTACCACAAGATGGCGCCAACAACCAGCAGCGCCAGCAGGAGCAGCAAGAGGATCGGAATCACAACCGAGGCGGAAACTGTGGGGAGCAAACAGCGTGAGAAAAAGACACCAAAGGGCAGCCTTCATCAGCACAAGGCGTTTATCGACTTACCGCCACCGGTGGCATCAGAAGAATCCACAGGGGAAGATGCAACGTCGCATCTGTATCCTGACCATCCAGAATGACACCTGGAAATGACGACCAGGGAGTCAGACAAACAGAAGAAGAGGAGTTGTCACGAGGTTGGGGGAGTGGATACAGATCTTACCTGCATGTAGGAAGCTGCGTGCGGGTGTCGAATGAACACTGGCCGTGAGAGCAGTAGTCCAAGCAAGTGTAGCAGGTGGAGTGGGTCTGACCATTGGTGCAGCTACGTAGACACATGGAGAGAGCTTGTCATAGAGTGAGCAATTTAACAACAACAAAACGAAGCCAGTGGAATATAACAGAAAAGCTCATTTAGTTCAAAAGAAATGAAAAGAGCAGAAATTAAAGCTTTTTTGTCTTTCGAGAGTTCTGTCTCCTCAGCTTCCTTACTTGCAGGCGATTTCCCCGGTGCGCTGCGTGAAACACTTGCCGTCTCCACAGAACAGACACTTGTTGAGATCACAATGGAGTCCCGTGAACTGGGTGGAGCACTGACACAGTTTGGTGCCGTTGGAGGTCTGCAAGCAGGTTCCACCGTTTTGACAGAACCCTTCGCATTTACCTGATAAAAGAAAGAGGGCATGGTGAGAATAATAAACCACACACTGCAACTTTAAAACAGTTCAGTTTATGTAAATATTGACATTCAACAGACTACTTTTTTTTTATTGCCGTAGGTTTTGCAATGTAGGCAAACTGAAATGTCTGAACACCAGAGCACAGAAACTGTGGAAAACAGTTTCTCTACTCTTGTTTAGAAGGACGCCTCTCAAAAGAGAACTGAAAAGTAATTAGTTATCTGTCACACTTTTGAGTGCAATTTTTTTTCAATGCATTTTCTGCTGTAAATAAAAGTAACTTACATATTTCTTTATTTAGAAAGTCACACTAAATCTTTGCACAAACTCCCTACGATCTCGATGCCCTGAAGAGAATTTAAAGCTATCTGGAAGTGCTGCCACTTACTGTACTGGCACTGGTCTCCTTGGTACTCGGGTTTACAGCTGCAGGTTGGCTGGTTGCCCATGCTGACCAAGCAGCTGCCACCATTCAGGCAGTAATCCTGGCAAGTGTGGAGGTTGCAGTTCGGCCCTGTGAAGCCTTTCGGACACCTACAAGTGGGAGTGCCTGCAAAACCATTTCTGTTGTTAAACGGGAGTTTCAAGATGATCCCCCCTGACAAAAGGCCGATTACAATCACCATCTCAATAAAATCTTGGCTGTAAATGCATTTTTCAGATGTTTTGAGAAAACAAAAGATGCACAAACTAAATGTTCCAGTAATAAAGTCATTACTACCTGCTCTAAAGGCAATCGCTGTCCATACAATGATTGTTCTGCTTTAAAAAACATGGACAAACTCAATTAACTGTAAGCGCATTTAACTGTTATTTATTTATTTATTTTTTGGTTCTTTGGCCTGGATGAAAATAATTTATGTCTTGACATAGACATAAATATATCCATGCATATTTATGTATATCCATGTATACAGAAATATACATGGATAGAAATATATCCATGTATATCCGGAGTCTTTGCATCGGAATGATCTCCTCTGGTCGGATATATTTATATCCATGTATATTTAGGTCTGGCTGGAAATCCTTACACCAAATGAATCTACCTGTATGGGAAGAGGTGCAGGTGCCTCCATTCTTGCAGTAGTCCCTGCACTGGTTGATCTCACATCGCGCTCCAACGTAGCTGGGCTGGCAGCGACATTTCTGCACCTGATAGGCATTGAAGAAGCAGCTCCCACCGTTCAGACACTGGATACTGCAGGGCTCTGATGGAGGAGCTGCAGAGAGAGGACAGGAGGATGGAGACATCATTTATAACCCAATGTTTAAAACCCTCTTTTTTTTTTTTTAATGAGATGCCGCTTAATGTGAGGGACATGTATGCTTGGACTTACTGAAAGAGGAGGAAGTGGGGCTCGGTCTCTCCACGCAAGTACCATTGTCAGCGACGTAGTTGTTGGGGCAGGTGCAAACGGGCCCGCTGGGGCTCAGAAGACACAGCCACTCACACTTTTTCTTGTCGCATGGGTTAGGTACTGTTGCAGAAATAAATTATAAACCAATTAAGGGACCTCAGTGTCTGTAAAAGCGCAAATTATGGCTTAAAGGTGATTCCCCACTCACTGTCTGGCTGCTTGTAACGGTGGTATAGGACTATGTCAGTGGCGTGGTTGATGCCTGTTGTAAGGTTTTCCATCGGGCCTTTGCCGAACTTGTTGACCCGGAAGACAAAGTTGTTCATGTAAGTGACACCGTAGATGTAGTCCTCAAAGATATCGATGCTGAAAGGATGGAGTAGGTCTGAAATTAAGATAAAAGTAGGAGAAAAGCATTCAGGCAATGAACCAATGTGGCAGTGTTACGTTTTCTGGGTTTACTTAGATGTGCAACTCAACGGTTTTTGATGCCAGAGACGGCGACGACAGGGTCTGAGCCATCCAGGCGAACGCTGCCGATGACCGAGAGTTTCGCATCGGCCCAGTAAAGACGCTCATTGAAGTAGTCCACGGCTAATCCTGCAGCAGCAGAATGAAAGAAATGTAAGGGGCTTTCATTTCGTTTAGAACATTTTGGACCTGAAAGAATCATTCAGCGCTCAAACAGCACTGACCTGTGGGCCACTGGATGTTTTCTTGAACGAGAGTCTGTCTAAGAGTGCCATCCATGGCAGCCGTCTCGATTTTAGGATGGTTTCCCCAGTCTGCCCAGTACATGGTGCTAAAGAGACAACAACAGACATTCACACGGCTCAGAAACATGGCATTGAAAAATGAGCGCAAAAGTGTTAATACATCTTTAAATTGTCCCACATTTGACCCATATATTGGTCAAATTATAAAACCAAGTATCTTGTTAGTTCTACTTAAAAATTTTAGACTACTTTTTGTTTGTCAAAGAAGTCCTCAATACCACATTGAAGATTCTCTTAACAAAAGTGTAAATAATAAATCAAGTTTTTCTCTGACCTTCTTTGTGGGTCCACTACAATAGCATACGGCTCATCTATCATGCCAGAGATGAGGGTCTTGCAGTGTTGCCCCGACATCTGAGCCACTTCGATCACATCTCGACCCGAGTCTGTCCAGTACAGGTTTCCAGCCACCCAGTCCACTGCTATCCCACGGGGCATCTTCAGCTCCCTGATCTGGATGTGAGCAGAAAACAACTTAGCAACTTTTTTTTTTTTTTTTTCCCCCCAAAGCGACACGTCTTCAGATTGTTTACAAGCTTTACCTGCAGGTTGGTGATGCCGCCCTCGTTCTGCCGGCGGTTGCCGTGAGAGTTTGAGGAGGACGACGATGAGGACGAGGACGACTCCTGGAGCTCGTAGGAGGAAATGCGGCCAGTGTGCCAGTTGGTCCAGAAAATACGGTTGCTTTTAACGTGCAAATCCATGGCGTCGATTCGCACGCTGGCGTCGCCCTGAAAGATCTGCTCGTAGCGCCAGTTGGGCATGCCGGGATCCAGGCTGCGGATTTCGTTGTCGTCGGCAATGTATAGGATCTGTCGACTGCTGTTCATGTCTTGGAGGACCGGAGGGAGAAGTTACAGCTGCGATTCTCAAGTTCTTTTAAGTCTTAGTTATTTTTTTTCCCAAATGCTTTGGTGCATTTTTCCAACCAGAAAAACAATCTTCATAACAACATTTAGTAATTTGTCCTCACCACTCCAGGAGAGACTTTCTTTGCTGTATTGCCAGGAACATATCTCATTGAAAACAGAAAGGAACATCTGGATGTACAAATATGAGTTCCGGTGCTGTGTGCAATCCAATTAATTTCCAAGATGAACTGCAATATTGCTTACTTAATGCAGAGGCTGTTTTCTTGCGTTTGTTTTGAAAAGTTTGCACTTTTCTAGTTTGCTTAAATTAGAGTTACAAAGAGCATGCAGTGAAAATGTGAAACCTATTTAGCCAGTGTCCTTTTTACCCAATTACATAAAATGTAGCTGTGGGTTTCAAATGTCTGTGGACATAGTGAATGCAGTGAGGTGGTGCCACCAAGATCAGATTTCTTTGCATTGCAAGAACTGAGTGAACTTTCATAATGAAAACCTGACAAAGACATTCGATAATCTTGTTCATAAACACGGCGTCAGGACTTTTCATTCTGCTGACGCAGATGATGTTGTTGAACTATTCATTTCGATTAAGTGACTCGCTTTTCCCGGTAATCGATTAGGCTTGGCAGTTTGCACCAACTGTTTTGGGAAATGCACCAAAGCATTTAAAATAAAATCTAGGAAGTAAAAAAAAACAAAAAAAAAACTACGATCAGATTATGCTTACTGTCAGCCTTGCAAGTGTCATTGATCCTGGTAAAGTACTTGTGGCAGCTGCATTTGTAGGAACCCTTGGTGTTGTTGCAGATCTGGGAGCAAACTCCAAACTCTAAACATTCGTTTTTATCTGAGAACAGAAAGGAGAAGAGCCAAAGGAAAATATTAATGCCAGTGAAATATTACAAACCAGTTTCTTTCGTCTTAATCGTAACAATTTGTTTTGTAGATAATCTGTAAGTGTACCTCCACAGGTGTGGTGCCCGGTCTTCTGGAAACCCTTTTTGCAGGAGCAGAAGGAGTCTGTGCCGTTGGTGATGCACTGTGCCTCGTCTACGTTGCCGCACTGAGTGCTGTTGCTGCGGCAGTCGTTCAGCCTTTTGTCTGAGATTAAACAAGCGATTTAAATATGAGACGGGAAAATCTGAGTTTCTGCGTCTCAAAGCTTGGATGCTGGGTCAGATGGGAAGCACCTGTTTTGCATTGGATCTCATCAGAGCCAAAGTCTTCGCAGTCATTGAAGAAGTTGCAGCGCAGGTTGGAGCTGATGCATCTGCCGTTGAAGCACGAGAACTCATCCTTCTCACACGTGGGAGTCGCTTGGTGGGCCTCTGAAAATGCAATCGCGAACATGTCAGTAATAATCCAAGCTGGCGAAGTAGAGGTTTATTTTCTAATCAGACACTTCTGTGAAAAGGTTTTCACACCCCTTAAACGTTTTTGAGAAGAAAATTTCCACAAAAATGCGAATGTGTTGACGTTCCTCTGAACAGCCCCACTTCTCACCACAGTTGAATTCGTCCGAGCCGTCCCCACAGTTATTAACGCCGTCACACCTCCTCGACATGTGCAGACACACACGGTCGTTCAGGCACCGGAAGACTCTGGTAGGAGGACACTGGAACATCCCTGAGAGGAAGAACGGGCAAGACACAGAAGAGAGAAAAGACAAAAAAAAGAAACGGGTCAGAACACGATAGCAAACGAGACATTTAGAAAGTGTGTGACTGAAAAGATCAACTCACTGCATTCCCCTGGATTCTCATCAGAGTTGTCACCACAGTCATCTTCCCCATCACACTTCCAGGCCAGTGGTTTGCACAGAGTGTTGTTGCACTGGAACTCATTTTGAGGACAGTGGCGTCCAGCTGAGAAACAGAAAAACAAGGTCATTTGTTTTTCAGTGTTGAATAAGATCAACTTTTCCAAATTAAGCTGACAAAGGAAGTAACATAGGTTGATTCAAAATCCACTGTCCAACCAGTAAGCAATCCATTAAATATGTTTTCAACATTCCTTCAAGCTTCCTCAAGGCCTTCTGCAGATTTTCTTAAAATGTAAGCACCAATCCACCAATCTTAGTGATTGAAATTCTAAAACTATCAAAAAAGCATGACGTCTGGTTATTGAAGTCATTTGAAGCCCATCCAACATTGAAGACGGTATCCCACCAACTACTGCAAGTGTATTCAGGTGATTGAGGCACTGCACATTTTGATAACGTGATGAAGACTGTGCTTTGATCTACTGCACTGACCTATTTCAGAGGAATGTTTTTAAGCCTCCGAGTTATTTAGACTCAAAAAGACCATCCAGAAATCTGAACAAAACCTTGGAGAAGAAAGATTGCAAAACTATTTGGTGTCTCTGAGGCAAACCTATGGGACATAATCCAACATCCTCGCCAGAAAAGACTAACCAGTGCTGCCGCAGTTCTCCTCATCACTGCCATCCATGCAGTCCGGGTCAGAGTCACATCTCCAGCGGATCGGGATGCAGTGGCCACTCTTACACTGGAACTGGTCGTTGTCACACTTCAAATCACAGCCATGCTAAAGATAACACACAACCCACATCCTGAGAGTCAGTTTACGGTGAGAAGTTAGAATGGATTTAAAATGACATTGTTGTGCTCCATGACGAAACTTGGCCCACATTTAACTCCATGTTTTCTTTTTACTAAGAAGTCACACTTTATGGATTTTGGTTTTAAAGTTAAATAGCTAAATAGAATAAAGATGTAAATCTTATCTAACAAAAAGAAAATTGCTCATTTATGACGTTCCTTAAGGTCATAAATGACATCGGAGCACATAAAACCTCACCATCACGCCCCTCACCTCATCAGATCCATCAGCGCAGTCGTGATCTCCGTCACACTTCCATCTCCCGGCAATGCAGCGGCCATTGGTGCAGGCGAACTCGCTCTCTGAACATTGGCGAGGCTCTGCAGAAAGAGAGGCTTGCGTCACTAACAAATACTGACAAAAGTCAGGTGAGTAAGCTTTTAGCACAACGCACAAGAACGCAGCACAGGTATGGGTAGACAAGACATCAGAGTTTTATGTGAGAGACTGCACAGAGATATATTTTCTTTCTTTTGTGTTGCTGTATTCTTAATTTTTCAAAAATAACATCAACTTTGGAAGTCCGTTAATAAAGGACTACTGAAACTTTGGGAAATGGACAGATTGGCAGATCTGCTTGCAGACTCTCACGGATCAGGCTGGGGAAGTGGAGGTGACACACGAGAGACACGGCACTGATAATGGGAGGTGGAATAACTTACCTCTGGCTCATAACGACAGGACAGTATGAAATGAAAGAAATATCAGATGAGGTGAGATGCTTTAGAAATGTCAATGCAATGAATTTGCATTCAGAATCATCAATTTGTTAGACGTTAAAAGGAGAAAGTTGAATTCATTGCTGGTGGATGATGCGCATGGGTTACTGGCGGTGGACAGAGTGAGCAAATAGGCGTAGAGAGGATGAAGTACGGACGCACTGCTTTGCTGCAGAAAGAGAGACACCTACGGCATTTCTCTTCGTCCGAGTTGTCCCCGCAATCGTTGTCGTAGTCGCACTGCCAGCGGCCCGGCACGCAGCGGTTGTTCTTGCATCTGAACTGGTAAGGTTCACAAGTCCTCTCAGCTGCACAATTTACAAAGCATAAGTTGGAGCACGCAAAAATGTAGAAACATCCGCAACACTGGCTTCTCTTCGGGGGCAGAAAGTTCCTACCGCACTCTTCTTTTGGCTCGTCGGAGGAGTCGCCACAGTCGTCCTCGCCGTCACACTTCCAGCGTGCGGGGATGCAGCGCCCGGAGTCTTTGCATCGGAACTCATCCACACCGCATGTCATTTGAGCTGCGGGGAAGACAAGCGTTTGGGCACAATGGTGAGTGACATTCACAAAAGGGACATTAGAATGACCTCCTCTGGTCAGTGAACTTACTGCAGTTGGCTGGTTCATCTGACCCGTCGGCGCAGTCGTTGTCCCGGTCGCACACCCAGAGGCGAGGTATGCAGCGTTTGGTCGTCGCACACTGGAACTGGGTGGGAGCACATGTAACATCCGCTGTTGGGGAAAACACAATTATTTTTAGTTTTCAATTTAAATCGAGTAAACCGGTAAACAGGGGTCACTTACGGCAGTCCTTCTCATCCTCGCCTTCACCGCAGTTTTCCTGGCCGTTGCATCGGAAGATCCCTGGGATGCAGCGGTTTGGGTGGGAACATTTGAACTGGCTGGGCAGGCAAACATGAATATCTGGGAACAAAAATTATAAGCAGTTTTTTCCCCCCTTAACGGTGCATAATATTGCTGGCATAATGTAGCTGCTAATAATTACAAAAAAAGATCTACCACAGTTGGCCTCATCTGAGAAGTCCTGGCAGTCGTTATCTCCATCACAGATATAAGCAGGGTTGGTGCAGATGCCTGTACCGCACTGAAACTGTCCCGGTCTGCATTTAAACTCCGCTGTCACAGATAAGACACAGTTTATCAGCATTCTGGTCAGCATGAATATATCCGAGAGTTCAACTCAACCACAAGCACTTTACATCAGTATGATACACCACCGTCTTCTTTCTCAGATACTTACGGCAGTCTGCAGGCTCGTCTGACCCGTCGCCACAGTCATCCTCAGTGTCGCATTTCCACCAGAAAGGAATGCACTTGTCATTCTTGCACACAAACTGGAGCGGAGAGAGAAATTATCCCAGGCATCAGTACAGGTGTTTCAATTATGCAGTCAGGACAAAATGAGTTTGGCATTTTTAATTTCTAATGTTTTATAAAGCAGAATTTAAAAAAAAACTAAACTTCAAACCAGAATAGCAATGCTTCCCTGGTCCATTCGACTCTTTTTCATTGATTTCTACATATTTTTCATTTGAAAGTGCGATATTTTCTTAGGTATTTTTTCTGCTGCTCTCCTATAATCTATATGTAATCAGAGTTGTTTTGTGATTGCATATCTCCACTTTTTTTAAGCAATTGTTTATCTAAAAAAAAAAAACTTTAAATTTGAGACTTGATGTAGAAGGACTGAATGACATTTAATTTGCATTTAGAGAAGAAGCCCTTCGGTCGCTGCAGTCGATTAATTTTAGGAAATATCAAATGATCAATTTTAAAAGACAGACACTAAAAAAGAATAATCTGGAAAGCCACATAATTGAATTGTTTTCATACTTTTCAGACCTGGAAACAGCTTAAAGTATATATTGTGTTCTATCCTTCAATGGAGATGCTGAGAACACAGCCTTCTTACCTGACTCGCCGTACAGTTGGACATGCATGTCCGCTGGTCGCTGGCCAGATAGAAGTTAGTAGGACAGGCACATTTGTATCCTCCTCCTGGTGAGAGGAGGCAGAGGTTGCTGCAGCCACCGTTGTCTGTCTGGCACGGATGTTTCAGAACTGAGATAAAGAGATAAAAAAAAAAAATTTTTACAGCAACAGCAGGGAAAAACCTGAAGCGTATTAAAAGTTTGTCTTGAAAAACTGTTGTGAATTATTGTCGAAACGCACTGAATTTTATCGAGCTCTTACCTGGCGGCTGGCGGTAGGGATGGTAAATGTGAATATCCATGGGCCGATGCAAGGTGTTGATCAGGGTGGTCTTGTTGGTACCCATGGTCTTGTGCGCCCTGTTGATGGATTTTGTTTCCCAGTCGGTCCAGTAGATGTATTCCTCAAAGAGCGTCATGGCAAAGATGTGAGGGATGTCGTGATTCAGAACTGTGAGAGCAAACACATTAAAGATATGATCATGTTTTCAAGGTCAGTTTAAGGCTGTTTTTTTTTTTGCTCCCACCACCTTCATCTCGTCACAAGCATAAACAGTGTGAAAATTTATAAAAGTGTCACTGTTTTTCACTTGATGAGACTTGGAGTATTTACTTGTGAATACTGGCAAACACAAAATAACTCCAAGGTCTTTCAGATTTTACAGGTTTAATATGAAATGATTTGACAAAAGACATGAAATTTGTATACTGTAATTCTTGTTTAAATGTAACAAGGCTGATAGCAGCTTATTTCCCGTTGTTATTTATGATGGAATAAAGTCATAAGCGCTAATAAAAATGCTCAAATCTCAGTAATAGATCAAATTAATCTGCACTGACCAGCCTTTTTCTTTCAAAAACCAGTTTCAGGACAATGATACAGAAAAGAAGGCTATTTTAAGGAGGTAATGAAACTGTTTTCATAATTTAAAAAAAAGAAACAGCTTCTTTTTTTAATTTAAAAAGTAGCTCATATATGATTTCAAAGACTTTTGAAAATGTATTAACAATAATTTTGTAAACATTCTCCTTCCTTTCACTCCCCCGAAAATTGTTTTTGAAATTTGACAACTGCTTTTCTCAACACACAGTGGCTTTCCACTAATAATGTACATTAGAAATCCATACAGTAATTTAATAAGCACATAAAGAAATCTATAGAAGCACATAAAATCCTATTCTTCCCATTGAGGTGTTGTTACAGCAAAGAGAAACTTCCTGTTCTGTTAATGTACAACTGAGTGAACAGATAGAGCCTCCATTTTATCCCCTGTTATGCAACAGCTTCTACACCTCATTAAGTTTTACACTCTAATTGCTGGTCTTTTTTTTTCTTCTGGCGACATGCATGCGGCGTCTCATGCATGCTCTCTGTGCTTGAGGGTCGCCGTGTCAAAACACGCAGCAGCAATTCAGACACGCACATCTGGCAAAGCAAACACAAAAAGCATGTGGCACTCTTTTAAAACGCCTACTAAACAGTAAGAAAAAATAAATAAAAATCAGCAATCATTTTTACCAATATTCTGCTTTAATGAAATTAATACATAACAGCAGGTTTACAACCTTGAAACAAGCTCAGATATTAGTCACTTTAGCTCAAAGTGCCCTTCGGTCTGTCCTTATCTGAGTCTTGTTCTTCAAACACACACGGCTACAATGGTGGGTAAGAAGCATCTGAGTCAGTGGAATCGTTGACAGGTAGACCACCAGCCTGCCGTGACATTACACTGAACGATGTAAATAGTATATATATTTTTCTTTTAATGCGCACATAGTTTGTTGAATCAATGAGTGATCATAGGCTCATATTCATGCTAACATAATTGGCAAAGATTATTAAAAAGGCAGTTTATGACTTACAAAGATGGGGCAACAAAATTCAGTTGTGGGGTCCCTCCTGGGCGTATTCTCGAGTCACTTTTATTTAACATCTACATGACCTCCATGTTTAACTAGACCGGGTGTCACCAACCCTAGTCCTCAAATTCCACTGTCCTGTAGGTTTCAGATGAATAAATGGCAAAAAGCCATTTATTTGATTCATTGATTTGTTTTATTTGGAGCCCAGTTGTTCTTATAACCTACTTGGCGTAATCTTAAAACTATTGCCATAATAAAGAGCTTCCTGTCAAAACAGGACACAGAAAAAAAAGTGTCTTTACTGGTGTCTGTAAAATAAAACAAACAAAACGAACAGACATCACTGCCAGAGTCCAGACCAACAAAGGGGAAATTATATCACATTGGATCATAAATCACTGTACTGGCTCCTTAGTTCTAAAAGCATAGTCTTTACAATTCTGCAACTGGTCCATAAAGCACTAAATGGTCTTGGGTCAAAATACATTTCTGAGTTGTTTGTTAATTATGAACCATGTAGAACCCTCATGTCCTCAGAGACAAGCTTGCTCAATGTTTCCAGGAACAGAACTAAACCAGGGAAGACAACATTTAGTTTTTTTCTAGTCTCTACAGCCCTGGAACATAAATCTGAAAACTAATCAGTAAGGTGGAAACATGCTAGTTTCTTTTACTGGTGGCAAATCAAAGATATGAACATTATCTATCTATCTATTAAATTTATGTATTGTTTGTGCTTTATATTTTCTTTTTCTTCAAAGTAAACCAAGTTTGGCAACCAACATTTCTGTCGTTTCTGATGTATTACCTGTGTGTCTGCTGGTTCCATCCAGGCTGGCAAACTCGATATAGTCCTCTCTGGCATCCGCCCAGTAAATCCGATCGTTGACAAAGTCCAAGGTCAGTCCGTTGGGCCAGGTGATCTTATCCTCGATGATAATTTTTCTGTCTGTGCCATCCATCCCAATTCTCCCAATGTGAGGGTTATCACCCCAGTCGGACCAGTAAAGGTATCTAACCAGCAGAAAGCACAGATTCACTTAAATTAAAGATACTCAAAGGAAGGATCTTCATCGTCGCAAGTTAAAATAATGCCGCTCACCCATAGCGGACGTCCACGGCGACAGCCCGCGGCTCCCTCAGGCCACTGTTGACCAGCACAGTCCGGTAGGCGCCATTAAGCTTCGAGACTTCAATGGTGTCACGACCTTTGTCACACCAGTATAGATTTCCACCGACCCAGTCCACTGCCAGACCATCGGGATTACTCAGGGAGGTTCGGTGCAAAACCTACCAGGTCGGTCCAAAAAGTAGAAGAATAAGTTTTACTTGCACTGCTAACATAAGCTGAAAAGCCGTCACAAATCAAATGTAGCAGTCACTGAAGTCCTGACCTCCATGTTGGTGCCGTTCATTTGCATCCGTCGGATCATGCTTCCCTGAGTGGTCACGTCTGTCCAGTAGATCATCTGCTCTGCATAGTGAAAGTCCAGTGCTACTGCATTGTTAAGGCCCTGATTAAAAACAATAAATTAGGATGAATTGTTATCTTTACATAACAAGCCAACAACGAGAGCACAAATATTTCTCCAAACAGAGAGCCAGACATCCCACCTGCTTTATAAGAGTGTAGTTGGAACCATCCAGGTTGAGCTTTCTCAGGTAGTAGCGATTCGCAAAAATCAGGTAGGGTTCCACTTCTACATGCAAGTACCATCCCAAACAACATTACTCAAGACTGAACTGCATATGTACAAGTACTGAATTATTAATCACACTCGTGGCTGCCTTTACCCGATGTGGACTTGCAGATGGTGGGGTCATTGGGGCTGACTTCAAAGCCGTCCACGCAGAGACAGTGGAAGCTGCCGTGCGTGTTCAGGCAGTGCTGAGAACAGGGGTAGGTGGTCGTGCACTCGTCTATGTCCACACACGTCTTCCCATTTCGCTTCAGCTGGAAGCCAGGATGGCATCTGCACTGCAGGGACCAACAGCAGAGCACATGTGTCAAAGTGTCACGGATGAGGTCATTCATTTACTCTGGTTGCGCATGACTCCCTTGTCCCATGCGAGGAAATGTCTGCTTTATGTTTCAGCCTCATATTGATGTTTATCCAGATACCAAACTCAAATCACTAAACAGAACAAAATTACGTAGGTAAGTAAAAACAGGTGCAAAGTGGTTTGTTGGTTGTAGAAGAAGCCCTGCCCTAACACACTGCGCGCCACAGATGTTGCAGTTCACACAGAGTTCAAGCTGTCCCATGACAGGCCTCCCTCCTTTCTGGAATGAGGGCCGAAACAAAATTTCATCTTGCGTAACTGTAAACCTGAAGAGACGGGCTTCAGATCTTTGTATAACCAGGTCCACTTGAACAAACAGCAAATATTATCTCTGCTAACTCTCCACTCGCATTGGAAGTATGAGAAATATTTGTAGCCAAACTTCTGCACACAAACATTAAAAAGTGAAAATCTGAAATTTCACCCAATGCACTTTAAAGTTTAAAGTCCTTCAAAGTTCTATTGATAGTAAAAGCAGCCAGAAGTGCTGTACAGACTGGTCAACAATAAGTGAGACGTCTTACTTTATAGCCGATTTTGAGGTCGTCGCAGAGCTGCGAGCAGCCGCTCAGCTTGCTGTTTAGACACTCATTGACGAAGCAGTTGCGTTCATCAGAGCCATCGCCACAGTCATCGTTTCGGTCACACAGCAGACTTTCATTCAAACACTTCTTATTGTGGCATATGAAGGAAGATTCATTACAGATCCTCTCTGAAATCACAGGTGCACGGAGTCAGTGTAATAAGTAACATGATTTCTTTCTCAGGCAAAAAGTTGGTGCAAAAACTAGAACCTATGTTTTTACTAGTTTGCAAATGATGAATTATCCCAAGGAGGCACGTAAACGACACATAAATTCCCTATAGAAGGACATATGATGCTCAACAATGTAGAATATGCAGCTTTACAGACTACCAGTAATCTGTTCCTTAACAATCAGCATTAGGGTGTTTACATTTGGTCGGAAGCCATTTTTCTACTGCTGCTAAGATAACAAAAACACAATGGATAAACTGACTGGTTGGCTGCTTAGCAGACATTTAATAGCTTCTCAAATGTTAATCTCAAATGTTATTTTTCACCAAAGGACAAACTACGGTGTTTGTGTTTCTGGTCGGGCTTAAAAATAAAAAATAAAAAGAACTCTTGTCACTCATGAACATTTTCTGGTATGACAGTACAAAGACTTTAAATCATAGTTATAGTTTTATTTTTGAACCCACAACCTTTTTTGAGCCTTTGTGTACCTTAACACCAGCAACCAACCCCATGCATGGTCAGAGTATTAGCTTCTGTATGAAAGAATGAACTTATTGATCCTACCAGAGTCTACGCAGCGAGGGTTTTTGGGAGCTTCATCGGAGTGATCTGGACAGTCAAACTCGCCATCACATTCCCACTTCTTCTGGTTGAGGCAACGTCCATTGGCACAGCGAAACTCCTCTGGACCACATGGTGGATATTCTACATGAAAACCACAAATTACAGCCTTTCAACCTCAAAATAAGCAGGTACCAAACAAAACTATAACCACAACTGGCTTCATAAAATTCCTATATATATTTTTTATTTCTTTTAGATACAAAGGAAAACCAACCACATTCTGGGGACTCATCGGAACCATCCGAGCAATCAATGTCATGGTCACATACAAAGTGCTTTGGAATGCACTGTCTGTTCTGGCACATGAACTCATTCTTGGTATCGCATGTATTGTTGGTGTACACTGAAAGCAGAAATAATTGCTTTTATTCAATGGACGTCAGGATTTTCTTTCCGTTTCCTGCGATTATAACAGACCGACTTACTGCATCCGGCTTTCACGCTCTCGTCGGCTCCATCGGGGCAGTCATTATCTCCATCGCACTTCCAGCGCTGGGGCACACACACATGGGAACCCGGGCACTGGAAAACATCAGGGCTGCAGGACTTGTGTTCTGTGAAGTCATGGATCAGTTCATTGAATGTCAGATGGTTGAATATTTCCAGTGAACGTGCGACAGAAAGCAACTGTAATATCAGTCACCACATATCTGGCCTTCGTCAGAGCCGTCGCCGCAGTCGTCGGAGCCGTCACACACCCAGTTCTTGGAAATGCAGCGGTGGTTCCCACATTCGAACTGAGTGGGCGAACAAAACTTGTCTGCAGGAAAAGAGAAGGTGCGTTTGGCCTCTTGAAAGAACAGCAAGAAAGAGAAAACAAAAGAGCTTGACTTTGCCCAAAGACTGACCGCAGTGCGTTTCATCAGCTCCATTCTCACAGTCGTTTTCCTTATCGCAGGTCCAGCTCATTGGGATGCAACGCCCACTGGGGCAAGCAAAGAAGTTAACGGGACATTTCAGCTTCCTCTTATCTGCAAAAGGAAAGAAAAACAAGAAAGTGGACCTTTGGAGCGCTGAAGGAAGTTGAAAGTGTCAGAAGAAAAATAAAGACATCCCACCTGGACAGTTTCTCTCATCAGAAAAGTCTCCACAGTCATTGTTTCCATCACACACCCATGAGGACAGATAACACAGGGTTGTTTTCTCACAGCTCCGGAAGGTGGCGCCTTTAACTCCAAGGCGGAAGAAACGCGAACAGTCGGTAGGTTCTGAGAAAATAAAACCTTTTTAAGCTTCATATTTTTTAATTCCTTTTTAACTCCGAAATATCCCACGAGGTTATAGTTTTTAATTTAAGAATGGATTACATACGGCAGTTCATTTCATCACTAGCGTCCTCACAGTTGACCACCTGGTCGCAGCGGCTGTGGTTGGAGATGCAGCTCCCGTCTTTGCACTGAAACTCTCCTGCTTTGCACAGAGTCACTGCAAGGAAAGAAAATGGGAATTTAGCAAGGAAAATCCAAGCTCCAGATCAAGTGCATTCACGTTCTCTTTAAAACAGGCTGGTCAATCACGTTATGGTTAGCGTGGACTGGCTTTACTTACTGTTGCAGGGCACTTCATCTGAATTGTCGCCACAGTCATCTGTCCCATCACACCAGAACTGGTGGCCAAGACAGCGGCCGTTAAGGCACCTTCGGTAGCCCTTCTTACAAATGCGATTGGCTGTAGAGAAAAAGTTTTCATCTTCAGCTTTGTGTTTTACTTTCTTTTCTAGGATAAAATGTACATCTCCTTACTACATACCATACATTAATACAAGCTATATATAAATATATATACGTCAGATTTATTATCTTCCACCCGATTGTTTTCAATCAGAACTCACCACAATAAGATTGCTTTTCGTCCGACTTGTCCTTGCAGTGGGCCATCCCGTCACATGTCAGGCTGTAGTTGATGCAGTCGCCGTTTTCGCACTCAAAGTCTTCAACGCTTCCACATGACATATTCAGCGCTGGTGACAGGCGGGGAAAGCATTCGTTTTCAGAAACACTTGCACTTTGTCACAGTTCAAGGCCTATTTTAAGTTTTGCTCCTTCCTTCTTACAAGAGCAGGTATTGTCCTCGAGGAGCTGCCTATTGCCGCGGCAACTGCAGTTCACCCGTCCGTCGGATGTGGGCAGACACAAGTCCTGGCAGCCTCCGTTATTTGTTCGACATGGAGAGTACTCACCTGAGGACAACAGGATGGTTTGTTTATTGCAACATACTTTCCACCGTTTGACCTACAATCAGGGTTAAATAATGGTTCCCTGCGCAAAAACGTCCAGGTTGTATTTAGGTAAAGTATTGTTTGGTATGCGCTTCCCAGCAAAACATGTGAAAGTGACATACACATGAAGAAGGGGATCTTTGTTGCCAGAAAGTATTTGTGGCCCACAGATGTAGTTCCATCAATTTGTGCTTCTTTCTTTGAAGCCATTAGCTTTACTGTTACTGCCTTTAGGTATATGTAATGTTTGTTTTTCTTTTTCATACAACATATTTGTGGTTTAGTGGTTTTGTGCTTAGTTGCCCATCTTTCCCAAAAGAAGCTGAGCTATTGCTGTCATTACCTGTGTGTGCTCTGTTCATCATACCAAGCTTTCTTGCTGAGTGTGTTCTTTTTATGGACATCTATAGAGCTATTGATGCAAGTAAGTGTGTGTAATCTCTGTTTTTCTTTTCCATACTCCAGGCTTGGCGCTTAGGGGAGTTGAGTAAATAATTAATGAATACCTGTCACCTGTGTGGTGACAGCTTCCCAGAAGAATTTAAAACTTCAGATGTAAAGCAGCCCAAACTATTCCCACTATAATAAAAGGCCGTGAAACACTGAGCATATGATTTTTTTTTTTTGATTAAACAATGCAAATGTAAAAGCATTTTAGCACTTGCGTGAGGCATTTCAGCATGAACCAATAGTTTGGCCAAAAAGGATAAATATACATGTCAACCCACTGTTAGAACTTCTCTTTTCTAACTTTTTAGGAAAGACGTTAAGGAAAAAAACAAATACTTAAAACACATATTCACAAGTTGCGCTAACTAAACGGATGCAGTGAATAACACCCACAGCTGTTGGTATCGTTAGCCACAGCAATGATGCCCATCGGCTGCTGAGGGATGTCGGCTCGCAGCACTTTCATGTCTCCTCCCGTGAACTTGTCTGCCCTCAAGACAGCTCGCCTCACCCAGTCCGTCCAGAATATGTAGTCTCCATACACGGCCAGACCGAATGGATGAACAGGTTCGTTCTTCAACAAGACCTAATGCAGACGGTTTTAAAAGCATTAATATGTTTTGGTGCTAAAGCAGCGTCATTTTTCTCAAGTGGAAGAGCCGCCTTACATAGCGGTTACTTCCGTCATATTCGCAACGTTCGATCTTGTCCAGAGTGGCGTCGGAGAAGTAGAGTTTCTCAGCACGGTGATCGATGGCCAGGCCATTAGGAGTTTTGATGTCACTGCCAATGATCACCAGCACATTGGCTCCATTCAGAGAGGCCCTCATGATGCTGGGAGACTGCTCATTCCAGTTTGTCCAGAACATGAGACTGTGGTGGGAAATAGCAGAAGACAAGAATTGTGGCAGGCTACCAGAAAGCCCTATTATGGAATCAATGGCTCACCAAGACAAAATAAACGTTCTCGACAAGAAAACGGGTGACTAAGGCAAAGATCTCACACAGCTGACTCACTCCTGACACTCATCCAGCACAAAGGCTCTAGGGTGGTCTTCTCCAGACATCGTAACGACAGTGTTGCGGTTATAAGCCACGGAGCGGCTCTGGTCCACTGTGTGGCGAGTGATGGTGGAGGTGGTGTAACTCGTCCAGTAGAGGGTGTCCCAGCCTCGGTGGTACGCCAGACCCTCAACTGACCCGACGTCTGTGAAGTAAAGAAGAAGAAAAGTAGATGTGAAATAAAAATCTGTCTTGAAAATCACACTAACACAATAATTTTAGACAACCTTTGACAAGTATTTGAAAATTATTAGGATCGACAAATAGTTTGGAAGATGCCTGCTAGGAACACAAGCCAACACTAGTGGAGAGTACCAATATGGCTGATAAACTGGGTGTGTAACGTCAACACAAGCGTAAGAATTTACGACCACCATTTAAATCTCTAGTAAAAATGAAAGCAAACGTACGACACCAAGTATCAGAGATACTACAAATTCAGGCCAATTTAAAGACCACAGATTCTTTTTTTAACCTACAATGGCATCCTCACCTACGGTTTAAAAACTATTTACCAACATTTCTCTTTCTGTGAAGAAACCTTAAATTAATACTTTAACAAAAACAAACTTACTTCATACATCTTATGAGCTATAAAAGTGGAAATTATGGAACATGATGTTGGAGCATTAGTAGATCCAAACTGTTCCCTTTTTTTTTTGCTACACTAGCAACCACATTTATGACCACTTACAGCACACAATAAAAAGGTGAAGTCATTGTTTGCTCTTGGCTAAAAGTATATAATTGCAACATTATCGACAATTCAGATGAAAAGGCAAAGTGAATGGGTAATTTTTCAAGGATAAAAAAAAAAACAAAACTCGTAATTTAAAGGTCAAATCAAAGGATAAACAAACAAATCCCGTTTGCGTTTTTCAAACCCATCAACGAGACTCTCCGAACAGAACCGAACAAGAAATAATAAATTCAAAAGTTAATCTGATATGAAAAGATGAGACCACCGTTATGTAATCATGCACTCTGCTCGGCCCTCGCGTTATCTACATTAGGTCAGCTCCTGGTTACAAAGCGCACAGCACACAGACCCTGTTGAGAAGCACGCTGTCGCCCACGACAGAGCTTTCCATGCAGTCCTGGGAGGAGGACAACCTGAGCATCACTTAATCATGATGAAATCCACTACCTCTTTTTGTGCCGTTTGAATTAATCAGACAATAATCCGCTGGAGGACTCTACATTCGATAAAGGCAAAGGACAACATGCCTCCTGTTGATGCACTTTGCATCAAGTGCCATTGACCGTTTTTTTTTTTTTTTTTTTTAAAGAGGAATGTCTATATTTACAGTGACAAAGAGGAAGTAGTGCTGTTCCTCATTTTGGACCTTATCATCTTCTTCTGGGATAACAAAGCTGCAAAACAGAAGTCTTTCTACATGTAAGTTTTTTTTCCTGAGAAGAGTTGTGTGGAAACATCTTACTATTTTTAAGAAGAAAGGACTTCTCTGAATATCATCAGGACATTGTTTTCTGAGGATGAAAGTTGACTATATATGTGGAGCTGAAGATGTTTTTACTGTTTTTAAATAACCGCAAGAAATTTCTTTAAACTTTCCCTCTTTGTGAACACAGTGGAGATGTTAATGCAGGAGCGACCCGTGTGACAGCTTAACTAATTGCTATCATTATCAAAGTGCTAGCTGTCTCAGTGGACTGCAATTATGTTTGCTTAAATAGACATGAATTGGATCAAACAGATTAGTTGCCCACATGCCGCATCCCATTCGGATACTTAACACTGACAGTATATTGGATTACGGGGCTTTTACTGGGACTGGATGGAGACTCCTGGGCTAGAAATGAACAACAGCGTACTTAACCAAATCAGCAAAGAAGATGGAGCTTTGATTAAAACTTTGGTGCCCTTCCTGGATGGACTGATCCTGCTGACTGGACTTATCGGTCAAACTCTGGTGATGATTATTCTTACAGGCAGAAGGAAGAAAGAAAGTCAACCTCCTCATGGTACGGACACCCTGCTACTGGCTCTCTGTGCTGCTGACCTGTTGCTGCTACTCTGCCAGCCCTTCCATACCTTCGCCATCACCGTGGGCTTCTGGCCGTTTGGCAGCTTCCTCTGCAGAGCAATCAGCTTCCTGGGAGTGGCCTGTTCGACCGCCTCCGTGTTCACCCTGGCGGCTCTAGCAGTCACACGCTACCTGGTAGTGGTGCATCCCACTTGGACCTACCGCGCAAGGATGAACCGGCGACTCAAAGTGACAGTTGCCCTGCTCTGGATCCCAGCCTCCGCTCTGGCAGCGCCGCAGTTTGCCTTCCGCTCAGTTACATTTTCCAACACGGTGTACTGCTTCGCCTTCCTGTCCGACTTCAGCCGCTTGGTCTACAGCATCGCTCTGTTTGTCTTTGGCTTTGCTCTGCCTTTAAGCATAATTGTAGTGATGTACGCCAAGATTTACTGCTTCCTTCGGCACGCGCGGCGGATAGGCAACGCTCCGCAGCTCGAACGCTACCAACGGCAGGTCACTCACACCTCGGCTCTCCTGGTGCTGGTCTTCACCTTGCTGTGGCTGCCCTCCTACATCCTCATGTTCTCCATCATCAAAGGAACTCTGGCCAGCTCTCCCGGCTTCAACACCTTCGCCCTCCTTGCCAGACTCTTGTCTTCCTCAGTAGCTGTGGTCAACCCTGTGCTGTATGGCTTTATGTCTCAGAAGTTTAGACGAGACTTAGTAGAACTTGGAAGAGAAAGCTGGACGAGGTGCAGAAGCTGCCTGACAAGTTGTCCACGTTTGATGAGCAGGCACACGGTGCGGCCATTGGAGCATCAAACTACCTCAGACACACCTCAAAACTGAGTTTTTTTGTTGTTTTTTTTACCTAAAATAAAAACATTATTGCTCAACGCAACTTAACTCTGGAAGAAATCTACAATCCACTTATAGGAGTCCATGGTAGAGATGTTTAAAAACTCTAAAACAAATTACTTGTTGTGCAGTAGCATAACTCAAATATTTAATTTGAAAATAACTACTTGTCTGATCTTGTCCATGTCAAAGTTAATAAACTTAAATCAATTTGAGCTATGAAAAACATGGATGAGCAAGGACACAGGTTGAAGATAATCAACAAAATCCTGGTTTTATATTGCTGTAAGAAGTAAAAGTAGGGCTGCAGGGTAAAATCATCAATAATTAATATCATCAGGAATAACGCTTGTGATAAATTTACATCTAATCTGAGTCAGATAGGGCAATCTACTGCAGTCAGACTCCATTTAACAAGCTCAATATTATATCGGCTTACAAAGTGTGAACTCATGACAGCTGGAATCAAAGAGGAAACAAGCGTTGCATTTCTGAACACTCAAAACTTACTGTCCACCACTATCTTGCGATCGGAGCCGTCGTCGTTGATCTGCTGGATGTTGCCGAAGTGAATGTCGCTGAAGAAGATGCGGTTGGCTCCCTTCCCTCCGCCGCCGTGGTAGTCAAAGCTGAGGGCGATGACGTTCTTCATGTGGTCCGGGTCCTCGAACGGCTTTATTGGCGCGTTGAGGTTCGTCTCGTCCGACAGGTGTATGCTTTTCAGGATGGTGCGCTCCGAGTACAGCAGGTACCCGTCATAGTCGCGGCAGCTACGTCTGTCCTCGGCCAGCATGCCGTGGGCGCAGGCGCAGGTCCGCTCCCCGTTGCCACGGTAAAGACACAGCTGTTCACAGCCACCGTTTTTTTCTTTGCAGACGTTCGTGCCTGCAGAAATGGTGGGGTGCATTCAGGTATTGAACAGAAAATTATTGTGAAGGATTCTTTTCAAACATGTGACGATTTTACCTTGCTGCCTGGCTCTGTTAAAAACCTTGATGTCCTTCAGTTGTACACCGATGCCTGTCCGCAGCTGCACGGCGTCTGTAGCATTGTCTTTGTTACCTCTCTTAATGGACCCATTGGCATGAGTCCTAAACAAAAAAACAAAACAAATAAAGATAATAAATCTGACATCGCACAAAGATTGTGTTTGTTTATTTAAAGTATGGAGTAGAAAACAGCTCACCTGTCACTCCAATAGATGTACCCCTCAAACACAGACACAGCAAACATATCCATGTTGTTGCTGGCCAGTACCAGCTCTCTGTTCTCTCCCGTCTCCAGGTTTATCCGCTCAATCTTGTCTGTTCGAGCGTCGCACCAATAAAGCAGACCCTCCTGCACCGCAAAAGAGGAAGAAAATATGACCACACATTCAGGTAATCCCCAGAGAAATTTGAGATTCTTTTAATTCTAAGCAGTGCTGCTTGATGGTCAAAAATTATCATTTTAAATACATTAAAAAATATTTCTATGAAAACAGTCAGTGAGTAATGAGGGAAAATAAACAAACCTCAATGTTACCTTAATCACATCTGACATTGATGAACTAATGAGTGAATAGCTATTTATGAAATACAATTAACAAACATCAATTACACATATTGTTTTGCATATTAATGAAGTGTGGAAGTTAATTTATGTTATTAAAAAAAAGACTCTTTTTTTAAAATGTATAAATAAGTTTCTGTCAGGGAAACGCCAACATTTTTTGCTGCTCAACACAGAAATCACAAATGTTTTAAACATCAATACAGCAGCATCGCAATCTTTATTAAATATATTTTATGAAGGGTGTGATCAAACAAACAAACAAAAAATTTTAGAATGAAGGTAAACGCAATGATTTCACACCTCATAGTCGATGGAGATCCCGTTTGGCCAGCTGATGCTCACGTTGACAATGACCAGCCTCTGGGAGCCATCCAAGCGAGAGCGCTCAATACGAGGGTACTGACCCCACTCTGTCCAGAACAAATACCTGCACACAAACACGCAGCAGGCCGTTTGGGTGTAATTCAGAAATAAAGACGTCCTGGTTTCTTTTCCTTAAGGTGACGCTGCGACATAAGAGTAAAGTGTGGATAAAGAGGCTGACCCTTTCACTGGGTGGACAGTTATAGCTCTGGGTTTGTCCAGACCCTGGGAGATGACCACGTAGCGGAACGAGCCGTTCAGTCTGGCCACTTCGATCACATCAAAGCCCTGGTCAGTCCAGTAAATGTTTCCTATAACCGCAAATTTATGCAAATCAGTTCACATCTGCATTTAAAATACTTGTATATGAAATAAATAAATAAGTAAAATAAGATAAATGGAACAGGATCCAAATAGTTTCGAAGCCAAACCTGCTATCCAGTCAACGGTGATCCCCTCCACTCTGCCGATGCCATTGGTCACCACATCCTCTCTCCACGTCTGATCCCTCTTTGCTCTGCTGATGGTGCTCAGTCCCATGTCCACCCAGTAGATGGTGTCATTCTCTGCAGAGGAGATAATGACAGATTTCAAATGTCACCCTGACACCAGCCTACTATTTACTTACGTCTTTAAGTGCTTCTCACCAGCGTGGAAGTCGATGCCCACAGCCAGAGAAGTTCCAGACACGGGCACCAAGGCGTCAGACTTGTCTGCCGGGTCGAGGGGAATACCCCTAATTCCCTCATGAACCGAATAAAGCAGGAAAGATCCCATACCTGTTAAAAAGAAAAAAAAAGGGAGCACAATGTATGTTGTGGGTATGCTTTGAAAGAGCCAAAAACCTTTCAGAAGCTGTGTTTGTGGACGAGTTTCCTACCCTCACAGGACTGCTGCCCAGTTTTGAGGCTGTATCCAGCTGTGCACATGCAGGATCTTGTTGTCGGGGAAGTGGGCAGACACAGCTGCGAGCAGTCACCATTATTGTTGCTGCACAGGTTGATTCCCGCTAAAGGAAAGTCAGATGAAGTGGGAAGGAGTTACTCTTTTCACTTGATATGCACTTCATATTCCAACCTTGGTCAAATATTTGCTACCTTTCTGCACATCCTCATCATAGATCCTCATGTGCATCATAGGGGAAGTGTTGTTACGCGAAACCTTCCAGTTTCCACCGTCCTTCTTGTCGCATGTTCCTATCTGCTCCGTTCCCTGGTCTGCCCACCACAGCTTGTCTCCTATAGACATCAAAAATTCATACAAATTGTTCTAGATTATTCAATTATCAAAGTAGAGAATTACCAACTGTAAAAGAAATAAATAAATGACACACTGCTTGCAATAGGTTTTTTATCTTACCCATAATAGCCAGAGCAGTCGCTTTGGTAAGTTTTCCTTTGACACCTTCCAGTATCTCCAGATTAGATCCGTCCAGTTTGCACCGGTTAATAGTGCTGTTACCTGAGCTGATCCAGTAGAGCTGCTTTGTCTCATAGTCAATGGAAAGTCCTTGACAAAAAAAAAATATTGTATCACAATTCGTGTATATCTGTCACAATAACAGAGAGTCATAGTACCAAAAGAAATCTTCAGGTCGGATGCCGATACTGAAGGAATAACACTCTGTGAGGTTTTTAAAATGAGGAGGAATCACACACAAGTAGTCATAATTGTAGAAAGAAATTATTTAAAAGATAATTACATTTTCATATTGAGAGACTTTCCTTTTAATTTTATAGCAGAGTACAACCGAAAATCCAGTTTACTCAAAAGCAAACATAAAGAATATGAGATTCCAACGAGAGTTTAATATGTCAGCTGCGTAACTGTTTTGCTTTGCTCTGAAATTATAAACCCTGTTTTATTAAGACAGTTCTGTCACAGATGTAGGGTGACATCATGTCTGCTCCTAAAATAAATAATGTCTGGTTACAGCAGGAAGGGTAATAAATTATATATTTTCAATGTTCTAGTATCTTTTTTTTTTCATGATTCTAACAGAAAAATTGGAATCAGCTAAAATGGTTATGAAAAGTTAAAACTTATCAGTGCATCTCTAATTATATAGAGCAATGGAGACATAAACACAAATTGTGTTTTCTTGTACAGTAGCTGTATATTTGAGAGCGAGTTAAACATCTGCTCACCAACAGGGCCTTTCTGATTGGTAAAAAGCAGGGTGTGGTTGCTTCCATCCATGTTTGCCATGCTAATGTTGTCGCCGTCAGTCCAGTACAGCTTCCTGAGAGAAGACATGAACATGACCGCGTTAATGTATTCGCAAAATATATGAAAATGTAATTTATTGAAGACAAATTACACGTTACAAAGTAAGAGACAGAAACAAATTTAATGTTTGCAATAAAGTCAGAGAAGACCTCATTAAAATTTTATTAAATAAGGAAGAACCCTTATAAAGTGACTGAGAGCACTCTGGCAATTAGAGAAAGCACTCACCCGAATAGCGGATGAACCACCAGACAGTGAGGTTTATCCAACCCCTGGATGACGGCGTTCTTAAAAGAGCCATCCAGTCTCGCCACATTGATCTGCTTCTTATTGGCATCATAGCTGGTCCAGAAGAGGTTCCTGGACACCCAGTCTACTGCCAGGCCGTGGGCATTAGGAAGGTCTAGAGAATTTCGACAACAACAACAAAAAAAAGTCAATTCAGACTTCCAGGATGTACAGCACGCTGTTGATTGAACATTGTTGGAACATTTATCCTACCAGCAGACACAACCGTTTCCACTCCGGTCCCGTTGATGAAGGCTCTTTTGATGGTCTGAGTTCGCACGTCTGACCAATAGATGCGGTGCTCCACAGCATCATAATCCACCACGGTCACGTTGTCTATGTCCGGCACGGTAAAGGAGATGATGTAGTTGTAGTAAGGGTTATCGATGTCCACACCTCGGATCTCAATCTGTCGTGCATAAAGCAGGAACTTGCGGGACTCTGGAAATGAACGCATACAGAGATGTCAATTTCTAGAGCAAAAAAGAAAAAAATGCTTATGACTTATATTACCATTCCCTTAAAACTAAAGATACACAAAAGACATCAATCTGTATCCATGTGTTTGCTCCTCAGCCACATATGTCAAAATGATAATTAATTATTTACAAATAAATATGAAATAGTTCTTTTTGCATATTTATAACTATGAGTAGAAATTTTGTTAGCAAGGCAATATATATTTGTAATTTTTCTTTACTGAACATTGAACACTGTATGTTTCATTTCAAATAGGTGAAAACAACTCTGAATTGATGCAGTGACTTTAACAACTAGAAAACCACAAACAATGAGAAAAGAACTAGAGTTTTAACTGACATATTCCCTAGTTGCAACATAATACTCTTTCTTCTGTTTCTTTCCCACTACAATGATGACACACCTACTGCAGGATTGTCATGATATTAGGAACTGTATTCGATCTCGGCCATTCCTGAGCAACGAACAAGTGAACGACTGTGTAGCACATGAAGTAGAATATTCCTTCGTCATAGCCTGCACTGGGAATGGCTGTGGAAACCAGTGTGGTATTCAATCCATGACAAAAACCACATGGCGGTTTTTACAGGCGACAGTTTCTATTCTTGCCTTTGCAGGTGCGCTTGTCGGCCTGCAGCTTCATGAGGTGGGGGCAGGCACAGGAGAAGGTCTGGTTAAAGTTGATGAGACACAGGTGGGAGCACGGGCTTTTCCCCTCACTTGTGGTACATGGGTTTGGAGCTGCAGGGAAGGGAAACAAAGAAACCCACATCTTAATGTTTCACGAAACAGAACAAAAATGTCAATAGAGGAAAAAAAAAAAGAATGATGGAACATGCTGGTAAAAACAGAAGTAAATACATCTTTGTGCACTGCAGTTTAAAAAAAAGTTCTCATGTCATAGGATATTTAAATCAATCATTTCTGATTTCCCTGGTGTTGAAATCTTTCTTTTTCACCTAAATGCCCTCAAGGAGGTTGACGGGAAACACTGATGATTCCCACGAGGAGTGGTTACAGCTCCATTAACATCTGTTTTCCTTTGTCATCAATGCAAGGATAATGTCACACACAGGCAGATACACGAGGGGACTCTAAGCTGTTTACAACTGAATATCAAATCGACAATTTGATGTGACAGGACTGAGTCAAACAGCCGTGACAAGCCTCCTGCCATCTCACCAAACCTGCCCGGCTTTTGGATCGACGTGCGGCATTTCTGCTGCAGGAGCGAGGTTTTGTTTTCAACCACGTATTTGGGGAAATGATGAACAATAAGGTTTCTTTTCACCCGACCAGGAAGCAGCAGGTATCCAAAGTGAGCCTGTGTGAGAAAACCATGACTCACGGCAAGAAAAAGGTCAGCTGTCTTTTGGAGAACAGGAGCCACGAGTCACATGTTGAACAATAGACTGTTAGTTCATCACGTTCTCCTTTAAATTAAAGCTCGACAGATGTGTTCAGCAGGGTAAAGTTTGGATGTGGCTTCCTTTTCTTAGAATTTCTATCTTCAGATCTAAAGCATACAATGGAAGTGTTGTTATAACAACCACAAATTTGAATGTCTTTTTTTAGACGGGATCATTGAGTCGTTTTATCCATAAATCCCCATCAAAGTGATCAACCTGAACACCACTACCACATGAGCAAACATGGTATTGGCAGCATCAAGCTGTGGGAATTATTTGATAGCATTAAGATGGAGATAAATACAAGCCAATCATGTAACCGAACGTTTCAGAGGCTAGAAAAGACTTCAGAGCTGGATAACAAGAATAAGCTACAACAGAAAAGTTAAGATGAAAGCATAGTAATTTGTTAGAATGGTCCAGTCAAAGCCCAGACAAAAAAAAAATCCAATTGAAAATCTGTAGTAATGTCCATTACATGAGTTACCCAAAACTAATTTCAAGTTTGTAGATGAAAATCCAGTGAAGCTTAAGGCGCATGAATATTTCTACGAGGCACTGGATGTGTTTGACGTGAAGACGTACCCAGGGGCTGTCTGGACGGGTGATAGACCTGCAGGTCAAAGGGCTGCGTGTTGGTGCGCTGGACAACAGTGACGTTGTGTCCAGTCCATTTGTTGGCTTTAGCGAGGGTGTTTGTCCGCCAGTCGGTCCAGTAGACTTCTCCTCCATACATGGTGACAGCAAAGGGGTGGGACAGATACTCATGACCACGCAACACCTCAATCAGTCCAGAACCGTCGTACATCGCCGAGTAAATGGCATCCGACCTGAAGGAATATTAAGAAAAGACATTCGACTAAACGATTTTGGTTCATATGCTTTAAATTCATAAGTGCGTCACTGAAAGCTCAGGAGCAAGTGTTACCTGGCATCAATCCAGACAATGCGTCTTTCCATGTAGTCCACAGTGAGTCCGTTGGGCCAGCCACCACTGCCTGTCTCCCTGTGGATGGTGCGTCTGCCTTCCCCGCTCATGGACGCTGCCTCTATCCTGGGCAGACTGGCGTCCCAGTCCGTCCAAAACAAAATTCTGCCAATAGAAAATTTGTAAAGTGTCGGTTTCTCCAGATGTGCACACGTTTATGTAAAGATTGATAGAGGATACAGTATCCAGAATGAATTTATCTTCCTATAAATAAGTCTTTAGAATCTAGCCATTTCCAGTCATCTGTGAATGTTTTAAGCTCTCCTCTAATGAGTCTGAGTTTTGGTTTTTAAAGAATGTTTATCTGACAATGGAGTGGGTAAACAGGGGAAAACACCATGTGCTAAAAATATTTCTACGTGTAAAAGTGACGGATACTCGTCAGTCTTTTGAAGATATTTATGAAAACTACTGTTGGCAAACTTCGAGCTGAATCTCTGTGACAGAGACAATATTTTATTCAAGTCCTGGCATCAGGACATTGAGGAATTACAGAGCCCTCCAGGGAACATAGAGAAAGTTTTATTCTTTTGCGTTCCCTCACAAAAGGTTTTGCATTCTCTCGCAATAATGTACTGATCAGTTTGTGCGGCATAACTGAAAACTGTCAGCCTTTCTTTCGGTGGCTGCCTTACTTTCTACACGGTTATGTAAGGTTTTTCCATGAATGTTAATATCTTCTTATGAAATATCTGAAACTTTATGTCTTTCTTTTTAGTTAACAAACATATGATATAAGCATGAACTTTCCACAATTAGGAAAGAAATAAAAATGCATCCAAACTATTTGGACTATTTCTGAATCATTATCGTGGGGTAATCAGTCATTTGACAGTTTTGATTGCGTCTCTATTGAGCTGTTCTGAATGGTTTAAAGGGCTGTTTCCATGCGCAGCTCCATCTCAACCTTAACAGACACAAGCATACAGTGATTTTCAGTTTTTTGCACCAAAGAGTTAATAATAATAAACACATTTTCACGGAAGCTCTGTAAGAGCCATATTACTTATATCATGTAAATGATATAATGTTTTTGTATGAAGTTATCCAAAAACACACCTGGATTCACTCTGAATGCGGAACTCTGGGAACGAGTCATTCACTTGACTCAGGTGTGTGATTCATCTCACCAAACTCATCATCTAGGACAGCAGGACTTGAGCATCCTGCCGTAAATACACACCCGTCCCGTGGGTCCAGAGCAATAGCCCGGGGATGCTCCACCTCTCCAGCCAGCAGTGTGGTTCTCATGGTCCCGTCCAGTTTTGCCACCTCGATCTGGTCCAGATTGCTTTCCACCCAGTAAATGTTTCCCGCTATCCAATCCACGGCTAAGCCCTCTGGCGTCGCCAGGCCATACTGGATGACCACCTCGAAACTGGTCAGGGCTGGTCAGACACAGAAAAGTACAGAATTTCAACTGAGGATGGTGGTTATTTTCCTCTAAAAATGCATTTAATTGAAACAAACATAAATTGTTTCTTGGAACATGGGGAAGTTCTGGCTGATGTGGAAGTTTCTCTAACCACTATCAGCACTCACTACTTACTTAATGATTTTGCAGAAACAACACAGAATTTTGCAAACCAAACAAAACAACCAAAATGTCTTGCCATCAGTAGACCTTCCCATATTAATTAGTAGATAACCGCTTCACAGTGACTTGGAGAAGTATTCATAACTCTTGATTTTTTTTGTAATTTCTCATTTACATGTTTTAGTGGGTTTCATGTGAATGTATGACCATCCACCTACACTGACAATCCAGGGAATTGAGAGCATTCATTAGCAAAAACTCAGAAAGGAATTAGAGACGGCCATGTAGGGAAACATGGCAAACGTGGGAGAAATTGATTGGATGTACGTGCAAAATTCAATTTGTGGCAAAAAAAAAAAAAAAAAAGGAAACAAGCTATTGTGGTACATTCCCATAAAACATCCTCACTGTGAAACATGCTGGTGGCAGTATCATTGTGTGGGGATGGCTTTCTTCAGCTGGGATAAAGAAGAAGCTGAGAGATGATAAATGCAGCTAAAAACAGAAAAGTTCTGGAGAAAACTCTGTTAGAGGCTGTAAAGACTTAAACTACTAAAACTAGGGTGGATCTTTTTCCCTTCCTGTAGCACAAAGGCCTAAATGTACTACCAGAGCTACAAAACAGTGGTTTTAAAAATAAATGTTTTATATACATACAGATGCATTCCCAATAAAGGACTTTTACGTTCGATTCCGTAATGTGGCAACATTCGAAGAAGTATGGGAAATACTTGCATAAGGAACTTTATGTCTCTTTAATGAATGCTGTGCAACATCTTTCAGTTCTTAGCACATTTTCTGATGCATTTGTAGACAGTGAAACCAGCAGCACTAGCTGATCCAGTGTTCATGTTTTCTGCTCATGCAGCTTGTATTCATGGACAACTTAAAAGAGCTAGACGGAGGAACAGGAGAGTTTTGTTCCTCCTACACAATGGCAGTGTGCTGGCAACAGTGACGCACAGTGAGCACTGAGACAAATAGGAAGAGACAAAGCCTCCATGTCTCCTGAAGTGCTGAACTGGGAACACAAACTTGACTGGCAAGGAGACCTGGGGCTCTGGGGCAAGAAAGGCTGGTCGTGACCTGAAGGATCAATGCCTAACATTATGCTTAAATTTTCAGTTTTCTATATGGAATCTGCACCAACCAGGAAAGCAAGGAAGCACAATTGACCAATGTAAAAAACAATGGGTGGATAAGTAATGTAACAGCTGGCCCACCTCCATTTTCAGACAGCTTCCCACGATAGATCTTGTCCTCCACGACGTCGGTCCAGTACAGGGTGCTCTGGTTGAGGTGGAAGTCCAAAGCAATGGTGTTCCTGAGGCCGGGTACGAGCACGCTGAACTCTCCCTTGTGAAGGTCGATCCTTCTGATCTCATGCCGATTGGAGAAGATAATGAAAGGTTTGAAGAGATCTGAAAAAAAAAGTTGAGTTTGTGTTGCAGTAAAGTCAGTCTTTGAGAAACCTTGAAAATACTGCAACCCTTCTCATGGAAAGAATAGAAGAAACAGTTAGATTACAACATATGGCTTTAAGTAAAGCTAGTCTCGTCACCAGATGAATTTGAATTTTTCCTCACCGGTACTTTTGCAGCTCTCCATGTCTGCCTCCAGCTCCCAGCCGTCGTAGCAGGAACACTTGACTCTGGATTTCTCCTGTTCACACTTCTGGCTACATTTGAGGTGTTTGGCACAAAAGCTCTGGATCTGGCAGGTCTTGTTGTCGGCTCCCAGCTCCATACCCAGGGGACAGGAGCACATGAAGCCCTCCCCGGGAATAATGCTGCAGTTGTGACTGCATCCACCATTATCCACAGAGCACAAGTCTGCAGGAAACGGTGACAAGAGTTACTTGGCGTTCCAAGATAAAAACCTGCACTCATGTTTTTGGTTTCACATGTGAAGCAGTAAAAATATTCAGCTTCTTGTTTACCGCAGAGCTTCTCGTCAGAGCCATCTGAACAGTCGTCGGTGCCGTCACACAGCTTCTCGGCGGGCAGGCAGATGGAGTCATTGGTGGCGCACATGTGGTGAGACAACTTGCACACCAGCGCCTCGCAGTTGTCCTCGTCTGAGTTGTCCTCGCAGTCGCTGTCCCCGTCACACACCCAGGCTTTGCTGATGCAGCGAGCTGATGAGGCCAGAAAAACAAGATGAGTCTCAGTTTTCAACGCAGACGGCTCTCGTCAAGCCGGGCAATGGAATAGTTTCATAATATCACAAGTCTCAGATTTTAAAATTATGCGTTTGATGTGTTTTTATTTGTTATGGAAAAAATTTACTTCTTTTCTACTGGTATGAATGAAGTATTTATTCTATATTTGTCAGCTTTAAAGGATCACCACGATTGCTTTCATCTTAGCAGAACCTCACCAGAGTCCCTGCAGCTGAATTTCACCGCTGTGTCACACGTGTGATTCCAACCATCGCAATTGTTCTCGTCGCTGAGGTCCATGCAGTCGGTGTCGCCATCACAGCGCCAGCGCATGGGAATGCAAAGCCCATCCATCCGACACTGGAACTCCTCTGCATGGCAGCCGCCAGCAGGGCGGGGCTCTGGAGGAAAAAAAGTCACTAATCACATTTAATTTTCTCGTGTGTTTATGAACGCAGCAGAGGTCTGCCACTGAAAATATATGTTGTCATGAACAGCACTGATATAAATTCTACATTATTTCACAATTTGCCACAGTAAAACCATGAACTTCAAAGTATTTTATTTAGATAAAAAAAAGAAAGCAAAATCCGTCAAAGAATTAAAAACACTGTTAGCGCAAACCAGAAACAGACTAGTGGAAACAATGAGCAGTGGCACAATACTGTGATGAGTGATGTTCATTTTCAACCAAACAGAGTTTTGAATGGAAACTAAAAAATTGGTTTCTCGCATGTGGCAAGTTGCAAACTGATTTTTATTTGTTTATTTTTAACAATGGCTACTTTCTGTCCACTCAATCATGAAACTCAGACCGCTGGAGTGTGTTACAAATAGTTCATCTGTTAACAGTTGTAGACCATTAGTGACCATCCCATATAAAAAACTATAACTGTGAAGAACAACAATGTATAGAAGGAAACAGCTTTATTATTGCCTTTATCATTTTCTAATAGGTAACAAAATCCTGCACACACACACAGAGCAGAGCACAGATTGCACATTAGAGCAGCAGGTCTTGCTGAGCCTCATCTCTGCATGCTGGGACTTGACAGCAGCGAGCCGCATCGCTGCATGGATCAAACAGTACGCACAGCGCGGCGCACAGAGGCTCATGTTTGTGGGCGCAGCAACAGCACAGGGAAGAGAGCATCAATGCTGAGCTGCCGCCTCACTCTGTTAAGCTGAAGCTGCGCAGCCACCAAGCTGTAAACATGCAAGTCCTATCTCTGCAGCAGCCATAACATCTGTGAAGTCTGCAGGAGACCGTGAAAGAGTTTAACTGTTGTTTAACCGCAAAGGCTTATCACATCCTGAGCAGAGCAACAAGACTGTTCTTTGGGTGGATAATAAGTAAAAGACAGTGAGCTGGGAGAAGGATGACAGACACAGGATGGAGCAAAAGGAGGACAAAGATCTCATCGTTGAAGCGCAAAGCAATGAGTAAACAGAGCACCACGAGATTTGAGCTTCAATCAGGTGTGGGCCAAACATCCCATTTATCAGCAAACACTTTTAAGAAGTGGAGACGATGAAAAGATAAAGCTTTGTTGGGTGTGTTAGACCAGTACAACTCATTACCCCGGATGGTGCAGTTGGCATGAGTCTCGTCACTGTAGTCTCCGCAGTCGTTGTCGCCATCACAGGTCCAGTACTCCGGGATGCAGCGGCCGCTGTTGCATTTAAACTGCACACTGGAGCAAGAGTGGCTGCAGCCAGCTTCGTCGCTGTTATCCCCGCAGTCATTGTCTGCAGGAAAATCAGGCAGAGGGGAGTTTATTTTTGCTTTTTGGGGTTCTTTTTGCTCGTAGTGCCGTTTTTAAGCTTTATGGGAGTTGAAGGACAAAGCTCTTCACCATTATCACAGCGCCAGTTGATATTTATGCAGCGGCCATTAGCGCAGGTAAACTGGGTGAGAGGGAAGCATGTTGGATAGGCTGTGAGGAAGATACAGAGAAGAGATTAAATGCATCCCATGTTATTATAAAACGTTAAATGGACAAGGAAAAAAAAAAAAAAAAAGCATAAAAGTTGCAGCAAGAACTCACCACAAGAAATTGGCTCATCTGAACGATCTCCACAGTCATCGTCTAGGTCACATCTCCAGGAGATGGGGATGCAGCGCGAACTGGTACAGAGGAACTGGTTTGGTGGGCAAGTGCGAGCTGGCAAGAAAAAAATAAAATACTGTACTGTCAATGATGGTCTCACGGACAACTTTAATGTCTTATGTCTTTCCCATGATGGTCTCGTGCAATATTTCAAGCAAATATTTGTTAGTCGACAAATTCTAAAAATGAACAGAAGTAAACACTTGAAATATATCACAATAAATTTACACCTTGTTCCAAATTATTATGCATGTGATATTTTCCCAGATTTACTTAAATGGTCAATGCAAATGATGGTAATTTTCAAGTCATGAACTATTACAGTGTAAATTAAATTTGACTAAACAAAGCTCCCCATGAGAACAGTATTTTCTTCAAAAATAAAAAACTCAAAATACACTGTTCCAAATTATTTTTACACAGCAAATTTTCTAAGCATTTTAATGGATTATAAAGAACTGCAAAGGGTTGTTCTTTGACTGTGCAGCATTAAGTGGTCACATGTGCTAAAATCAATAGCTATTTCAATCAAAAACATCTTAACAGACTGAGTTACATGTTACCATAAGACCCTTTCTTTGATATCACAATTCTTACATCCATTGAACTTGTGAGTTTGTGGAAAGTTTCTGCTTGAATTTCTTTTCAGGATGTCAGAACACTTTCCCAGAGCTGCTGTTTTAATATGAACTGCCCTGACACACAATACCATCTATGAATTTAATAGCACAACAAAAAATGTAATCTCTATGACACTTGAATCCAATTTGAATAATAATTTGGGTCATGGTGTGTAAAGAAGAAACAACTTCACCTTTTGAACTTTTTCATAATATTCTAATTAACTGAGATGTACTCACATGTACTGCATGCATGTATGTGAATCTGGCTTATCAACATGAGTAGGGTGGGATTTGACATAGTTTATGCTGATAGAATATTGTCATAAATAATATTTAAAGCAACAATTATCTTTTTTTGCAGAAAAAGATGGGACATGTATTTTTTAAGGGTAAAACTTTTTAAAATCTGATTAAGAATTTCATACAAAACACAAATTTAAAAACATATTCAACTATATACTATTGTTTAATCCGTAGCAGTAACTCCACTATAAAAAAAATACAGATGAACAGTTGAGGATTGAACAATTGGTTCTTTGCCATTTTTCTAGAGGAAAGCTTGAGTAGCTGTGTTATGTTTTCTTGCAACCGTGGGTAGAAAGAAAAAATAGGCAAAGTAGCCGCATCGGGTCATACCCCTTTTTGAGCATGTTCAAAGGCAACGAAATACCGATATATAACAATAAAGTAAAAAGATCATAGCACAGGTTTCTGGACATCTTCGAAATAAACAAATGAATATTTTGAATAGAAACAAGGCTGCAAGTACCAGAGCAGGTGGTGTTGGACTCGTCTTCATCGTTGCCGCAGTCGTTGTCGCCATCGCAAAGCCACCGCAGCGGGATGCAGCGGTTGTTCTGGCACTTGAATCTGTCTGCAGGGCAAGTGTGTTGGTCTGGAGGAAGAAATACACAAGAGAAAACTTTAAAATTCTCTTTGAGCAACGGAATTTATTTTCAGGCATATGGCATTAATCATTGGTTATATACTGTTTAGTCCATAAAATACTAAAAATTGCATTAATTTACAGTACAAAGGCTTCATTTGAAGAGTCTGTGGAAGGAAAGAAGGGAAGAGAAAGAAAAAAGAAAATGAGGATGCTGTGAAGGAATCACATGAAGGAGGGAGAAGACACACGAACAGACTGACAAAGAGGTACATAGAGAATAAAGAGATATATGGCACAGGAGAGGAAACAATTAAGAAAGAAGAGACCAAAAAGAAGGGAGAAAAAGAGCAAGAAATCATAGTAATAAGGCAGAACAAGCCAAAGTGAGTAAAGGATGGGTAATAAGTAATAAAGAACAAGGAAGAAAACATGCAAAGGAATCACACAAGGAAAGGGTGGAAAAGAATGAAAAGAAAAAGGTATGAAGAATGACAAGAAAGGAAGGTATGGATGATGAAAGGAAAGAAAAGTTGGTGTGATGCAAGTAAGAATAAAAGCAAGAAAGAAATTACAAAAAAAAAAAGGAAGGACATAACATTCAGACAATGGAAAGGGAATACAATCTGGAAATGCAATTACTTCTCCAAACCCTTTTCTTTTTCCTAACTTATCCAGACCTGAAGTCAAATCAATCTGTTTTTTTTTCCACACTATCCTAGACTGAACCCTGTTCTTAAACAGATAGCAAGGAAAAGATCCAGGATAATTATGAGCTCTTTCTTGTTGGACTCAGCTAATGAGGGCAAACGTTGCCGCCTTAAAAAAAAAAAAAAAAAAAAAAAAAAAACACACGTCACCCTGCACGGAAAGAGACAAATCCTGGAAACTCTGTTACGTGCTCTGTCAGTTTGTGTTAGTTGGAGCCATTAAATTTAATTCTGTTTATTGGTGTGTTGCTTTGTATCCATGACAATGACGCGGTGCCACGTGCTTACGGCAGAGGTCAGGGGCCTCGTCGCTGTTGTCCAGACAATCGTTGTCCCCGTCGCATTTCCAGCGTTCTTGGATGCAGCGGTTGTTCTTGCAGGCGAACTCTCCCGGCTGGCACTGGGGCGGGGGAACGTAGGAGGGGTTGGCTGGAGATGAGATCAGGGTGGAAGCGGGACACAGATAATTCACAAAGACATGAAGTGAGCACTAAAACTAAACAAAGCCTTTTTAACTCTGAAATTTAAGACCAGTTTTAAACATTTCTCAGATATTATCCCTTGTATGCGTTTCTTTAAAGCCAAAGGAGCACCAACTAGTTATTTTTTGTGTTGCAAAAACTATTCCTTTTACATGTTATGTAGTTAAACTGTAGTTGTCCTTAATTACATCACAAAAAAGTGATCGATACGCATTGATTTCATCTTTGAGACACTTTGTAGAGGAAGTACATGTGTCTGACTGTGGTGAATGTGTGCAATATTTTCAGAAAAATACTGGGAAAAGTCAAACTTGCAAACCAAAAAAGCAGCCAGGAATTCCTAACCTCAACTCCTGCTGATTAATACATTTTCCACAGCTGCCGCAAGCATGCCAGCCATAAGAAAAATTCATTGCCCAGGGAAGCAGCCAAGTACCTTTGCAGGTGACGTTGTCGACGTCGAGGATTTGATCGTCGGCGCAGCCACAGGACCTGCCGTTAGGAATGGCGAGGCACAGACTGCTGCAGCCACCGTTGTTTGTTCTGCATTTATTGGTGCCTGCATGGAAAGAAAAACAAAACAGAAAAAAAAAAAAACAGGGGCAAGAAAATGATTCAACTTGAGCTTCAAACAAGCTCAAATTAAAGTTTGAAAATGTGACGTACCCTGCTGTAGGTGAGCGTCGTACACTCTGATCTCAAATATAGGAGGCCTCTCGTTGCGAAGCAAAGTGACGGTTTTGGTTTCCTGGTCAAGCTTGTAGATGCTCCCGCCGCGGTACTCGTTCCAAAACAGAAACTTTCCATGATGGCACAAGCCGAATGCATGGTTAAGCTCCTGGCTCTCATAGACGACCTGTTTAATCAGAGAGTTAAATCACTTCTTCAATTTGAGACAAAAATAAGCACGGACCGGCAGCTTTATGAAGTACGTTCATACTAGTGTAAGCTAATAATAAGTAAAAAAAATAAGTCATAAAGCAGCCGAAGCCTCTGGAAGGGCCTGAAGAACATTTGCATGAAAAAAAATTCAAAGGATTTCAAGAAAGGCTTGCTTCTCACAAACGAAGCATAAAGAGCATTTCACTCCATATCATCACCTTAATATTCATATCTGCAATAGCACAACCACAACAGAATGCCTGGAAGCAACATTTGCATATTATTGATATGTAAATTAATAAGGCAAGGCAGAAAAAAGTACAACATCCTGTTTGGCCACACTGGCTGTTTACTTTAGTGCCTGAGATCCCGATGATCAGAAAGAGTGCCGGGGACATTTTCATAAACGAAAAGGAAGAAAAGAGTCTGGAACATTTGAAATACTTGTAATTGGCTGCCATCACAATATTCAGAAATAACCCTATAGATGTTATGAGTGGTTTAAAAGTTTGACATGTTTCTAATTATTTTAAATAGCCATCATTTTTTGTTGTTGTTGAAAATACCACGGCACGGTAAACAGGGCATATCATGAGAACATTCCCAAACCTTTCTCTCTGTGGTGTTAAGGAAAACCATCTCAATTCTGTCGTAGTAAGCATCCACCCAGTACAGGATGCCCTGAGGAATGTCCAGACTCAGACCGTTGGGCCACAACACCGTTTTGCTGGTCAGGAAGACTTGGTGATGTGAACCGTCCATCCAAGCTTTCTTAATTTTCCCTCTGTTGCTTTCTGTGGGGTCCTCCTCCCAGTCAGTCCAGTACATCCACCTGGTGAGAAGGAAAGACATTTCAAGTGAGCTAGGAAATGCTTCTTGCAAAGCTTTGATGCGTGACAATCTTTGATAGAGAATCCCACAACTAAAAGAAAAGAGCTGTACAGAGATCATGTGTCTGAGATTGTGAACCACATGTTGCTCAGGCACCCATAAATAACATCTGTACCTTTTATGAGAACTAGGAAGCCCCTGATGGTCTTACCCGTGCTGTGGGTCCACAACAATAGCCCGGGGGTGGCTCATTTTTCCCTCAATGAGAGTTCTGCGAGTTTGTGAAGCCTTCTCCAACCTGGCAACACTGATAGTCTTTTTAGGTCCATCATCGGTCCAGTAGAGATTTCCTCCTATCCAGTCAACTGCTATCCCCTCTACTGTGTGAATACCTGAGATAAGCAAGAAAAGTGATAGGATTAATTGAAACATGTAAGGACAAACCAAGGATTGGACATCAGAAGAATTTAAAAGCCACAAAATAGAAATAGCTTCTGAATCCTTTCAGAAGGTAAAATTGTAGGGACTTACCATCCTTTAGAATGGTGTCTCTCTCTGTGCCGTCGATCTTCTGTCGGCCAATAATGTTGCTGGTGGCGTCTGCAAAGTAGATGAATTCACTGGCGGCGTGGAAGTCCAGAGCTCGGGGATTCATCAGGTTCTCGATGGGAATCATGTACTCATCAGGCACCTTGGCGTTCATGTCCATGCCCCGGATGATTCCGGGGCGACCCTTCCCGTACACCAGGAACAACTCGTGCTCTGGTTCTGCAGAGGGAAAAAGCAGTAATTAAGAAGAAATTAACAGCTTGTGCAAATTTGATGCAATTTTCCAAAGAAAGATGAAAAGGATGCTCACTCTTGCAGGACTTGCCATCACTGCCGAGGCTGAATCCAGAGCGGCAGCGGCAGGTACGCGCCTTGTGGCTGTTGCTCAGCAGACAAATGTCGGAGCAGCCTCCAGGTTTTCCAAATTGATCCAGGGCACAAGCATGGCTGCGCACTGAGCAGGAACAAGAGAAAAGCTAAGCGCTGTGATAATGTGCCTCCAAATGAATTAGCACCACTGATAAAACTGTGATAAAAACATTCAAATAGTCATTTTAAGTCATTCAATAAGAGATTTTTTTATTCTTTGATAAAGGATAAAGATCTTTTAATTCACACATATATAGAATTTAATTTTAAACATCCTGGTAATTCAAAGAAAACTATGACACTATGACAAGCAAAGTATTTTTCTCTAAAGTATTTTGTTTCAGTTAGAGACTTTCCAGTTTTTAATTAAATTCACAAGTTTATATACAAAAGCAAAGGACAGAAACTACTTTCTAAATAGCATCCCTTACAAGCAATTAACTGGTATGTGGTCAGCCTCAAAGTCTGACCCCAAGAATTTATACACTTGGGAGAACTTTTTTATTTCTACCTTTTGCATCAGTATGTTGGCGTATGTTTGCAAGATGAACCTTACTTTTCATCCTGCCGAGTTATCAGGGTATAAAAGAAATGGGCCTTTGTCTCTAGTCACACTTGTATTAAAGAGAAACAAAGTTGCGGTTTTCTAAATAAAAGTTAGTCTTTCTATCAATTATTATACTTCTACTAAATTTGTCACAATATTTTTACAAATATGGTATTTTTTTCCAGACTTGATTCAATTAAGGGTTGAATTAAAAAAACAAAAACAAATCCTCAGTCTTAAAATTTGCTATGGCAATAAAAAGATGCAATAAGAAACATTTTCACCAGCAGTGCCAAGACATTCCTCAGTGTCTGTGCTTTTAAACAACACGACTTGTTGCAATATGTGTTGCTGACGGTAATTTGACACGAGACTTTTTGCCACGCTGCGCACCTTGAGGTTGGAGTCGCTGGTGGTACACGTGCAGCGTGGCTCCCCGATCCAAACGGGTCACCACATGGAATTCGGAACTGTCGAAGCGGTTCACCCGGATCACACTTGTCTTTGGGTTGAGGCTGCCTTCTTCTGAATTTGTCGCATAGAGGTAGTTCTCAAATACAGTCAGTCCATAAAAGTGCCCAATCTGTAAGGTAGTGGGACAGCAAAGTGGACGCAGGCACTAAATGAGCTTGGAGGATTTCTGCAACTTTTCGTCAATTAAACTCAAGACCAAGTAAAACCCTATTAACTTAAATTTTAGATCTAACACGAGTTAGGAAAAATAAAACCCAATTCACTTAACAGCTTATATTTAAATCACTTTATATCTTAAACAAGTTCAATTTAACTTTGCCAACTCAAAATTTGAGTTTTTCAGCATGCGACTCCAGCACTTACACCATGTTTCTAACACCTGCAGGACATACTAACTTTTAGAAACAGCCACCAACTGAAATCCTTAATTCCCTCGTCTCATTGAGAATACACTTGCCCCTTATGCAAGAGACAACATGAAGGTTTTGATTATGATTTCATGAACATACATTAACCCAGTTTCAGAATCAGAGACTTTTTGCAGATTTATAGAAAACCTGCAACTTCATTTCAACAGGGCTCAGTGGTTTCTTGCATCAAACACCTGAACTCCTCTGGAAGAGAAAATGTGAAGACGTTTAAAGCTGGGTCAGGTCATGTTACAACTTCCACAGCTTTGAGCATATCAGGTGACATATTTCATTCTGTCATACAAATTCGGAACGAATGGCACATCTTCTAATCCACCATGAAATAGAAATGCAGCAAGCTGGTGTAGGAAGGCGCTGTGAATCAATGAGTCCAAAACTTGAACTTTGGGGCCAATATGGAAAACGTTTTGTGTGAGGAAAAGCTAACACTGCGCATCACCCTAAAGATATCAGCCCCAGTTTAAAACAAGATGTTGGAAACATCATAAGGTGGGCTTGCTTTTCTTCATCAGGCAGGGAAATCTGATATAGGGCAACTGACTTAATATTTGTAAATAGTCTGTAAACCCCTGCAACATGACTAATGTGGAGAACAAATACTTTTTTTTGATACATTGTATGCTTGGGGTTCAGATCACTAAACTTCATCTATGACAAAAACAAATACAACCGATGTTCCATCACTACTACAGTCATGTTTTCAATAAGATTATAGCTTCTGGATAAGTTAGATTTTAGTGTCGCCAAAGGAAATAGCTTCGAGAGACATTAACTGTAAAAACCGACACTCATGGTGAAATATTCGAAGAGAAATAAAAAAAGGGCTGAAAGGGCATAAATCAGCAGGAGGTCACAAAAGAATTATGTTGCTTCTAAAGTTGACATGGTCATGAAGCAAATGTTTACTGTTACTGATGTGAAGGACATTCTGCATGTAGTGGTTCTGAGAACATCTGTCGCTGTGGTTCAGTATATTTCTTTTTTTTACAGCGTACAGGTATCCGCACCCTCTTCCCTACAGCCTCACCTGCAGGCCCTGAATGATGGTGTGTCGGTTCTTGCCCTCATAGTCCACCACTTCGATGTAATTCAGGTACGCATCAGCCCAGTACACCAGCCGGTTCACCAGGTCCAGGGTGATGCCGTGGGGGAAGACAATCTTGCTGTCCACCAGCTTGGTGCGGTTCTGGCCGTCCATGTCGCAACGCTCCACCCTGGGCGTGGAGCCGTAGTCCGTGAAGAACAGTTTCCTGCATCAGAGGAGCAGCAGGTTGAAGAGGTTGGAAAAAAAGTCAAGGTCCCTGACCGGTAAACAGAGAGCATTTGGAGAAAGAAAAAAAAAAGGGAACTGAATCATGCCATCTGGTTAACCCCAGAAACCTAGTCGGAAGCTGTGAAGTAATTCTGTCTGAAAAAAGTGCTTTGATTTCTGCCTGCCTGCTTGGTCAGCACCTCGTCTGATCACAAGACAGCATTTCCCTACCAAGCATTGCTTAAGCAGCACTTGGGATAAGAGGGCAACACAAGGTCAGGAGGACTGATATACATATACAATATACAAACCCCATGGTCGGGTCCAGGGCTATGCCCTTTGGGTTATGTAGCTCTTGGTCCAGCAGGGTCACACAAGTCTGGCCGTTCTTGTTGCACACAAACACACGGTCACCCACGTCATCAACAAAGTAGAAGTTTCCAGTCAGCCAGTCGATTGCCATCTGCTCCACATCTGATAAGTGAAGGGACGGAAGGAGGGAGAGGAGGAATGCACATTAAGATTGACATTTAAAAAACAGACTGTGTCATGTAAGCAGTCATAAATCTGGGACTAATACCAGGAATGTCCTGTTGTTTATGACTCCTTACAACTTTCTAACATAAAAGAAAAGCAGCTAATTTATGCGTTTCCTCAACATTCTTGTTTTTCCATCCCCAGCATGGGGAAGGAAATTAAAAATATAAAGTTACAGTTTGAGAGTGGGATGAAACTCCTGGAAGCAGGCTTGTGCAGTAACTCAGTAACACTCCAAAAGAGTCAAAACCGGGATTTCTTTCACATATGGCAAGCATCACATGCTCATTTGGGAAAACAATGCTTTGGTGAAGATTTTTTGTTTTTTGTTTTTTTTGGGGGGGGATAAATAGCAATAAAGAAGAAACTCAAACCGCAAATGCTCCACCAACATCAGTTTTGCACAGTCTTTGCAAATAGATACACATCTCACACGGTGATCCATTAAGAGAACAAGAACCTTTAGCTAAAGAACAACATTAATAGGTTGACTTTAGAGTCACAACATTATCATTCATCATCGAAGCATGTTCTTAACCTCTTTCAGATTTGATCCAAAATGCAAATGCATCAAACTAAAACATGTTGGCCGATTTCGTTAAAGATCAAAAACAGGCAGATTTCAGTTTAATCCATTTAATAAGTTGAAATTTTTTTTTTTTTTAGTATCCGACCTGCAGAGCAGAGCTGACCAAAACCAAGCGATTCTGATCGCTGAAAAATATTTAGATCACGACAAACCATAAAAAAAGCTGAATCATTTTCATTCCTATTAAAACACATTTTTAAGCCTTTAATTATTTGGATGGTTTGTGTCACATACACCGGACCCCGAGACATAAATTTGTGATGAGAGTTGATTACAAAGGGCAATTGATACATTTTTTCACTTTAATCTTCTTTGAATTCTGAGTCTCATAAAATACACATGCTCTCTTCCAAATACTTTTCCATTTTGGTTTTGTCTTTACAGCTCAGGTCGGAGCAGCGTAAATAAGGCTTTTCGGCATAGTAAAGATAATACATAATCCTTTAAAGAATCAAACATGACAGCGATGCAATGGTGCTACCACAGCTCACAGAGGGGAACTTGAAATATATCGAGTAGAGATTTGTTGCAAAAAGTGGCTTTTTAAAGTAGGAAACAAGCTGATTACCATACATATTCAGACATGAACACACTCAAAGTTTTGTATTTCTTTTATAATTTAATCCTAAATCTGAAGCTCGTATGGATTATGTGATATTCTAATATACATAAAAACTGAATTTATCTTTTTTTTATTACCAAAACAAAGGTGAACAGAAATAATGACAGAAAATCTTTTCAGTTTGTGTAGAAAGACTCCATACAAAATACAAGTTTGAGCTGTTTAAACTGAGATTTTTAATTAATCTCACTGCCTGATTACTGAAGCACAGATGAGCAAAGTATAAGTTCATCAGCTGAAACTTGCCGCAAGTCAGAAACGTTTTATTTATTCATTGGTACCTTGCAGCCTAAAGTTACGCAACAGAGCGCCGACACATCTGGGCTCAATTCTGAACCTCTCCACACCACTTACCAAACATACAAAGAGCTTCAAAATGCAAGTTCAACATGGGAGTTAAAGTATGCCTAAAGTTACAGTGTCGGGAGAGAAAACAGGAAAACCACAGAGAGTGGACTTCTGGTGCCTTCAGTGTGGCTCGAAGATGGATTTACGAGCAGGGAACAGCAAGGGCAGAAAGGAACAAATGGAAAAGCTCGTCTTAGAGAGAGGAGGGGACAGTGACACTCCAGTTATCTCCTTTTAAAACCCTGCTTCTTCACGAGGGGGGCAGCTGGAAGTGCTGCTACATCAGTCAGTAGATTCAGAGTAGAGAGAAAGTTGTGCAACCCAGCAGCGAACTACGTTGTGTAACAACTCTGCAGACCCCCTTATCCAGAGAGAGCCAGCCAGTCTAAAGCCATGCAGATTCTGGTAAGTGGAAACTTTGCCGGGAAAATAAATGAGCCGCCCTTTCCCTCCAACCACCCTACACTTACCACTCATTTTCTTATCCTGTCTGCAACACCTCCCGACTCCCTCTAATGTGAGTAAACATTTCACAGACTGAGCTGTTCTTATTGCCAACAGCGATCATGCTTTATAAGGCCGCCCAGGTACTTTGCTCACATGGCCTATTGGGTTTTTCATGGTTCAGTACAAGCACCACAGTATGTCTGCTTTAATGCCATCTCCTTCATTTGCATGTCACTGTTGTTGAGTGCATGTTGTAGCAAAGCAAAAAAAACAAAAACAAAACAAAAAAAAAACAAGAGAATCATTTCCCCCCTGTGATCCTCCCTCTGCCAAAATGATCCAATTACTCTGTGCAAAAACCTCTTGAACTCTCAGCAGCTCTGCTTCGGAGCTCGATGAGTTATCTTTTTGCATAGTCAAGAAATATATTTAAGAGGAAATGATTCTAAACTGGCAAATATCCTCCTGAAGAAAAAATATGCCGGTGGATTAGAGAGGTCTGACAGCAGGAGTAGAAGTCATGCTACAGGAGGAGCAGAATACAAATCCTCCTAAAAACTGTAAAAGACACTGTTGCCTTTTTTAGTTTCCAGTCTCAATATGTGAATAGATTTTAATTCAATTAACTATATTAACTAAAGTATTCTATTTAGAAATGGTCACAGACACCCTCCCACGAGAATCTTACAAATATCTGCATACAAGCATATTGGAATGTAATAAAATTGAGTAGAAGAAAAAGCCTTTCAAAAGACTCGTCCTTCAAAGGCTTTTCAAAGGACGAGTCCTTTGTTTCCGATGAAAGTTTGTTGGTCTATTGTGTTTTATCAAGTCTACAATCTGCGGAGCCAGACTCTCTGTTTTTGATCAGAGAGCGAACTCCTCTGATCAAAAAACACCAAGAAGTATCTATAAAGTGCTGTTAACACGAAGATGAGAGACAACATCATGCATTTTTAGCTCGACATGCAGACAAGGAAGCCACATGTCTGTGGACTAATTTACAACAAGATTTGTTTTGGATTTTTACTCCAAAACCGCAACGAAGATCTGAACACGTGTCGCCTAAAAACTCGGTATTCCTAAAATACGCAACGCAATGAAAATCGAGATCACAGCTGCGATCACCCTCATCTGTCTCTTATCAAGTTGTGTGCAAGGGGTGGAAAGGATGGGATGGTTAACTCCTGCTCATTTTTATCTTCCCAGTCAGAAGATCGCATGCAGACAGAGTAAAGCTGCATCTGGATCCCTCATCTGCCCTGCTGTCTCATGCTTGCAGAAACCATACAAGACAGAAAAATGTTCCACTGCTCAAAGTCATGCTAGTAATAAAAACAAAGGGTCAAAGGTAAATGGGCTAAAATGAGTGTGTCTGAGTATCAAACTGGACACAAACAGGATACAACCTGCGGTTGATTCAGGAATATAGAGGGGAATATAAGCGGCATCTTCATGACCACACACTCTTACACACGGCTGCCAATAGACAGCAAATCACTACCATCTTCTCCCTTCATCTTATCAGGTCTTTAACTTTGTTTAATGTATTTCACAGCTCCTCCACTCATCCCTTCAGCAACAGAGCAGCAGCAGGCAAATGAGACCCAAAGCCGCTTTTTTTTTTTTTTTTGCTCATACGCAACCCATATCTGACTTTTCCAAGGCAATTCTGATCTTTACACCCGCACAAAATAATCTGACCTGAGCCACTTCCATATGAGGTACTAAGTTGGATATGCATTGAGTTGCTTTCAAAGCAAAAATTATTATGAATTCATGAAAGAAGTTTGTGTCAATGAAGCGTATCGCATCCCAGTTCCACCATTCCTGGTTCCAGGGGTCCAAATAGACTTCCAAATAAAGTTGTATAACTTTATCCAAATAGACTTCTCTACAAAAGCTGCAGTCAATTCTCCACAAAAAGACATTGCTATGATTTGTGCCTTCTTTTGTGAACATATGTGTGCGTGAATGGGTAAATGTCTGATTTGGATCACGTAAAGTGCTTTGAGGTCTACTGGACTAGATTCAGAGCCAAATAAGTACAGGACATTTACCATTTAAATAAAAAATAAACTTTATGTCTACTGTTAAGGCTGGAATTTAAAAATAAATGGATGGACTGATGAACACAAAAAAAAAACCATTCACATTTTTTACTTAATTCACTTTTTTGCTCCTGGAAAAAAATTCAGTCCTGGAAAACACCTTGTGAATATTTAAGAAGTTATATATTATATATGGTGTAGTTGTATTCTGACTACACCAGGCTTAAAGTCATCCAGGTGTTACTGAAGTAGATGGCAAACTCCAAAAAAACAACAAAAAAAACCAAAACACCTGTGGTAAAGAAGACAGCAACAAACTTAATAAAGATGGTCTCTTTAATTTAGTTTCAATTCTGAAGCTTCTTTCTGTTTTATTGAAACTGACTGATTACAGTTATCAGCTGTAACTACAGTGAGCCTTCTTTGTAATTACAACAAAAAGGTCCAACACAAATGGTAATAGTTAGAATTGAGAAAGTTGAGAGTTAAAACTCTGGGACCTGCTTTGAAGTTTCCCGAATAGACAGTAGTCATACAACTTTATGTTCTCATGGGCCTACAAAACCTCCATCGTGTTGCAGCGTCGCCACTTTTATTTTTTTTTTCACATGTTGGCTGTTCTGCGCCTGAGGCTGATTTTCAAGAGAGACTTCCCATGTGTTTGTTCACAGAGAAACGTGTATAAACCCACATCCTTGTTCTCCATGTTTTGACTGCATTTCTGAACTCATTCTTATATAATATCCACGCCGTAAGCCAAGAGGATAAAAAATAAAACTTGCCTGGTCTGTTATCAAACATAATTCCTGTCAGCATTATATGACTAACTCTCGAAAACATGAGCAATCATAAGCTGTGTCTTTTGGACGGCTTGCGCGTGTGAGTGTTGGTGATTAGAGAGTGTGTGCGTGTGTATGCATGCGTGCGTGTGTCTCTGTGTGTGTTTGTGAACTGAAGGCCAGATGTTTCACCATCATTACTCAATAAACAAACACGTATTATCTTGCCACTAAATCTGCTGGGACAAAATGTCCACCTCATGGAGGATTTTATAAAAAGTAAAAATGGTTTTCCAGGAAAAAAAATGAATCTAACCTCACACTACATCAAATCTAGTCTGAGGATGAGGAGATGGGTTATTCTGGACTAACTGAGCTAAAGCTGCAAAATCTAAGTTTTTGTCTTTACTTTGCAAACTCAAATGGTTCATGCACACGTGTAAATGAGAGCAGTGCAAGCGGAGCGGTGACGTTTCGCGGAGTAGAAGTAAAGGAAGGAGATGACTGTGTTTAGGGATCAAGGTCCGGATGGTGGAAAGGAGATGAAGAATCGTGTGCAAGCAGCTGGAACGGGCAGAGAAAATTATCAGGTTTGATGAAAGGGTGCCAGGAAGGCTGAACGCAAAGGTGTTCAGAGAGAGTGATGTATGATTTAAAGATCAGGAAAAGACAGGAGGCAGAACTGGATACTGCAGAGCTCAAGATGTTGAGGTTCTCTTTGGGAGTGATGAAGATGGATAGGATCGGGAATAAGTATAGTAAAGGGACAGCTCATGCTGAATGTTCTGGAGATAAAGTCAGAGAGGCAAGACTGAGATGGTTTGGACAGAGGCTGCCAGAGTCACAGGGCTGGAGACAAAAAGCTCAAAATGGAGAAGTATAGACGGGGTGATTAACCACATGAAGTTAGTTGGTGTGAGGGTGGAGAATGAAGAGAATAAGACTAGATGGAGACAGAGGATTTGCTGTGGTGGCCCCTGAACGGAAAAGGCAGAAGGAAAGAAGGAGATACTGAAAGGTTATTCCTCCAATAATTTTTCCTCAGAGGAGCTTCTAAATTTGTGCCCCAAAAATGTATAGAAACTGTTAAGCTACACTTAACAACTGCTATTTAAAAAAGTAAAAACACAAAATAAGTTGATATAAAATGTTTTATGTATAAAAGCATGCAAACTATTTATATTTCTCTTCTCTTATTTCAATTGGAACTAAACTGAGCTTTGAAAAAAAACTAAGAGAAATATATTTAAAATCCCTAAAAATCCAGATTTGGTGGATCTTTTGTACACTTTATCACAATACATCCACAAACTTTGATAAATTGTAGAGTAAAAACAATTGCAATTAAACACAAAGAAGAGCACAAAGGTAAAGAAAAATATGAATTAATCTCAGCATAAATCCAACTGTTCTGTTCGAGAGCAATAGTGAAGAAACAGAATTATGAAATCTAAGAAACACAGCAGACAGATCAGGATAAAATAATTGAAAAGTTTAAAGCATAGTGAGTTTATATAAAATATCACAAGCTGTTTGCACACCTGCAGACATAACCAGGCATATCCACCTAAACTGTCAGATTGGGAAGAGAAAACAATCCAAGAAACACAAACCAAGAGGTCCAGGGAGCTTGATACTCCCAACTCAGCTGGAGCATTCAGCAGAACAATAGCTTCTTGTCCACTGCATAAATCTGGTCTGCATGGAAGAGTGTTCAGCAGAAAACCACCGTTGGACAAAAAGCCATAAGCAATCCTCTTTGGACTGAATCTACGCCATATAACAAAATCACAAACGTCATTGCCACATCACTACTGCAATTGCAAAGCACTGCTTGGATGCAATATTTGACAGGGTGTGATATTTCAAGTGTTAGCTATTACAGTCAGCATATCAGTAATCAGATGGATGGGCTGCATTTAGTGCTAGAAATGTATTTATTACTTAATATATTGAAGGTACATTTATACCTTAATTGCTGTTACCTTTCGTGAAGGTAATTGAAATTGGTGGGGACATGCTGGAATTGGTATAGAAAGAAAGTATCAAGGAACTGTGTAATAATCTTAATCGGTATTGCTATCACAATTTTCAGGAACAGTATTGCAATTGATCTTTTGCTGATCTTGAAAATGGATAAAGCAGAAAAGTAAATCCTAATTGAAGATTTGAAGGCTGTTGATGTCTGATTCACTACTTTGAAAACAGCTGACCTCATATCACTATGAATCAGCGTGAAGACAAAGACAAAGTTGTATGTCAAGGTGTTGCTGCTTTTTACTGACAAGCCTGTCAAATAAAGTAAAGCTCAGCTTAGAGTTCTACCCGCTACATTTATAGTGGTATAACTTTGACAAGACAAGTATACACTGCAGACCCCTCACCGGTCTAAATGGAAGGTAAGTGACAACATGTATTGAAATTGTACTCTTAAGCAGATTAAAAGTAGCCAGGAAAAAAAAAACCATGAATGTTTGAATATATTTTTTGCATTTTCTGCCAGAGAGACAGAAAAAAACCAAAACACTTACGGTGCAAGCTGAGGGCGATGTTGACGGTTCGGATGCTTGTGCCGTTTGCCTTCTGGTCTTGAATATTGGTACACTTCAGCTGAGTGGCAGCGGGGGAATCACCCACATCTATCCAGCAAACCGTCTCCTCTGCATATATAAAATCCATCGCCATTGTCTGATTGGTGCGTGGAACAGACAGTCGGGACGCTGAGCCAATCAGGGATGTGCATCGGATGCCGTGGAGATTGGCGATCAACAGAACAGGCAGACGATCCACTGGCTCTGAGCAGAGATTTTGGGAGAAAACATTAAAGGTTGCCACGCAGATGTGACCGTTGTTAAGGAGTCATTCCCACAGGAAACAGAAAACCCTCTCTAATCCCAGTAGAAACTGTAAATACTGGTGGATGTTGCTTCTTCTTTGTTTTTTTATTAGTATTTTTTTAATATTATTAGTTTTACTCACCATTTTTGGCTTTGCAAGAGCGGTTATCTGGCTGCAGCAGATAGCCTTCAACACAGCTGCAGGTGTAGCTTCCTTCTGTGTTCGTGCAAGTTTGACTGCATGTCCCATACACATTGCACTCATTGAAATCTACCAGGCAAAGAACACAGGAAAATGTGTATTACAGAATATGCCGTTTCATAAAACCTTGAACACATTTATCTTTTTCCTTAAATAACCAGACGAAAACAATCTTTTTTTTTTCCCTTTTTTTTACAGTAAACGGTTGCTTTTAGACTTAGGTAGGCTGCACTTGAATACATCTGCTAAATTACCACCTACCTTTGCACTTCTTTCCATCTGCAGCGACCTCATAGCCCGTTCTGCAGTAGCACCGCGGGCCGTCATGAGTCACTCCGCAGTGAAACTCGCACCCAAAGGCGGCACATTCTGGTGCTTTTTCTACACAGAAAGAAAATAGAAGTCCAGAGTTAAACACTATAAAAAATGTTTTATGTCCATACAGGTAGTTAGGATTCCCATTAATTTTTCCACACAAACATGCTATCCAGCCATAACCGGGGTCACAAAGATTATGGATTACTTCTTTTATAACCATCCAAGAGAGCTGGAGGATGTATCTTTTGGCAGGAAATGAGGGAGAGGAATCCAAACATCCTTTCATCGTGGCCTCTGCAGGGTGTGGGTGTGCATGCAGATGTACGTCTAGGCTTTAAGATAAGTAGGGTCAGCTTCCTATTATAGGTTGTTGCTTTGAAAGCCCTCAAAAGCCTGAGATGCCCTGGACTTTGTGTTGTTTCCTTTGTAAGACATCTGGTAAATGAGACCAGCTGAAAACAAATCATGTCTACAGCAGTGGTTCTTAAAGCGCTAGTATTATATAGTTTCCAGGCACAATCAAATAACTATTTTACCTGCTGCATATATCAAACATTACTTACACACAATTCAGCACCTTGAAATTGGGCCTCTGTCTCTTTAAGAAGCTCCTATTCCCCCCCACCACCCTGCCTTCAGCAGGTGATCATAACAGTGCTTTTCATTATTCCTCTAACGACCGTTCTTAAGAGCATTGGCCTGGGAAGTTATGTATTTGAAGTTATTTTTTTGTAATACATTATTTACATTAATGTCAGAACTACCACGGTAAAACAACGAAACTGTTCAAAAAACATGACTGAGCATATTAATGAATACTATTTTTCAATAAATGTCAAACTTTAAACACCTTTTACACAAATAAAAACGACCAACAAAATATGACTATTTACCACAGCATCCAACAAATATAAGGCAGCTGGTCATGCAAAGAGTAACTAGTGGAAACCTCGCTGTGAAGAGTGAAGAGTAGACCAGTGAAGGGCCCTTGTTACATAAAGCCTGTGGCACTCTGGGTCATAATGAGTCTTTTGTTGTGGCGTATCTGAAAGAAAGAGTCCCCCAGCTCGCACTGTGGCCCACATCGAATCCATTCACCAAGCTTCACACTGGGAGAGACCACAGGCAACTCGAGAGCTAAAATACTCACACTGTGTATCTCTGTCCAGGGTCATTGTGTTCCACTTTGTATCCTAGTCTCAAGCTATGGGTGGGCAATATGAACAAATACCATAGTTTAATATTACAAACCTAAACCATCCCTAATATGTTTGGCATTCTGAAAACAAAATCCTTGGTACAAAATATTATACTTCACAGTAAGGGTGGGCCATTTAGACTTCAATATTTATCCCGATATTTTGTGGTACTATTGTGATAACGATGAAAGTGATGATAAGAACTAGTTATTCTTTCATTTTTAGATTAGTGCATGACTATTGGCAGGAATCATAGCCCCACAAATATCAATACTGCTCTTGACAACCATTCCCTTCTGTAATCCTTCACACCTGAGAAAACTTGATCAATATTTTGTCTTAGTATTAGGACTTCTTTAGTGAAAATGAAATCAGATTAAGAGACAAGAATCTGGGAATCCCCACGTGCAGAGGGGGGTGGACAAGGGGGCTTGAGCCCCTGCCCATTTTATCCTTGATGCCCTTAGTGCCCTTTTGATTTTTTTTTTTTAATATATATATATATTTTTATCTGTATGTCAAGAGGTAATATGGGGCCTTAGGCAGAACCGCCTATACCCCCTTTACCCACTGCAACCCTTTCTACTAAGAACCTCAGCATCACTAACATGTTTAAATATAGATAAGGTGAAGTCTGTGAGAGGGAGACCAGGTTTATTGGCAGTTTAAAATCAATCACTGATTATTGGTTATTTGCTGTGATGTATTTGTGAACAAACCCAACTCAAACACAAAGAATACACCATATTTTAGCTATGGTAACACAACAATCAAACTATCAAGATGATTCTTTAAACTTTTACGAAGTAAACTTCCTAATGAAATCCTAAATGTACAATGTGAACAGGTGGGACACATCCTGTCCAAGCCGCCAGTCCATCACAGGTCAACTTGGAGACAAGCCGACAGTACTTATTTAGATACGTCAACATGCAAAAACTAAATCTGACAGAACAAATAATGCATTTTCCTCTAATCCCCAACAATGTTGGGCAGCTGCAACTCATAAGAATCTATAATATCACAAAGAGGGTTGGGACATCATCCAAGGAGAGCCAGGCCTGGACACAGTATGCGTCAACAAGGACCACACTTCTTTACTGCCCTGTCAAAATTTACTCTAGATCATTGGATCCAAGATTGTCATACTTAATCAACTTAAATAATTTTAGTTCCTCAATGCATTTTTGCTGTCAGTAACTGAAGGCAGAAACTGAACAAAATCCCAAATGTAACAACAGATTATTCAATCATGTTAAGCCGACACGGCATTCCTTGCCTTCTCCTCTGTTTAGAAACTAGTGCAGACACGACTTTTCCTTTTTCAGGCTTCCTGAAGGGAGCTTACACATTTCATGAAGCGTTTCATCACATTACCTCATTTCTACTTTGAGCGTGAATCAAAAGACAAATCTCTATCTGGCTGCCACTCAGACTAGATTGTACGGCGTGTTATCATTTCATCTGTGAGGTGAGAAGTTTTTCTGATTTTTCTTGTTTTTTGGGGGAGGCGAGGGAGAGGAAAACAAAATTAGCTACAGTTGGTTGTTCTCTAAACAAGTTCAAAATAATATTTAAAGGCTCACTGATATTTTGTTAAACGTCTCAACAAGTAGACATTTAGTTTTTAGCAGCCGTCAACAAGGTACTGGTATGTTTGAAGTTGTATATTTTGGCAGCCTTCTGGATATCAGCCTCTTCTGGCATCGGTGAAATTTTTTTTTTTTTTTTTTTGCTTCCAGTAGTGTAATTAGACGTTTTGACAGAATGACCATCAAGATGACAAAAATGGTTTTGGAACGGATGAAGCTGACTAACATTAAGCTTTTGAAATGGCTTTATTGAAAGGCCATTTCAAACTTTGCTTAAAACAAATAAGTGGCGGGAAACCGACTGATTGAAATGGACTTCAGCATTTTTGAAAGAAAAAGTGGTCATATCTATGTGAAAATTATGCCAGGGTGCAATTAAAGGCAATGTAAGGTGTCTGGTTCCTCTGCAACTTGCTGAAGGACATTTTGTGTCATTTTTAACTTCTGCATTAAAAAACATTTTCACTAAATTAAATCTTGTGTGAGATTAATACTATTTATACCAATGATGTGTGTGTGTGACTGGCATCTTCTACGTTAAAGACTGTTGCTATAAAATGTTTCGAGTATCTGAGTGTAGGCAGGAAAGTGCACCAACAGTGTGCGTACTTACTGGGAACCGTTTAAAGGCTTCGTAATCAAAAAGGGGTCAAAGTAACCATTTGTAAACATGCAGGGCGGCAGCTTGAGTAATGAGCAAACAGTGACCACATTCAGTCCCACACAGCAAAAGCAGCTAAAGACACCAATAACAAAAGCCTAAACAAATAAAATTTGGACTTTCCCAAACAAATAGAAGCTTAAATTATGGACCAAATGTAATGCTCAAGTTTTTTCCCTGTTAAGAAGTATATACTATCACTCGTAAAACTAGTATCTCTACTCTTCCTAATGCGTAAAGAGTAGCAATAAAATATGTTATCAAGCGAGACAGGTCTGCTAACAGCGCCCAATAAACTAATTCAGGTCAAGACCTACTTGTGAATAAAGTTGATAATACCTGTCTATGCACAGGCAGCTTCAAAATCCTCATGCCATAGCTGGTGACAGTGCACACATAAACCTGCATGAGGCCTCTGCAATAATCATACTGAAAAGACTGGAAAAAAAATTTTTTAATGCAAAGTAAAACGTTTGAAAGCCACCATGACCTAGTTTTTCAGTTTCTGGTGTGTCAGTAACAGCTCACAAGAAAGATACTATCTATAAGGAAAGCAGAAAAAAAAAAACTCACTGCTGTCAGTTAAAACCACATAAACTAAAACAGACCTTGGTAAAACAAGCACTGTATTAACCACATTAATGTTTTCACTATAAGATTTTCAAAGATATAAAGTCAAAGAGGACAATTTAGTGTTTCACTAGATTGAGTGGTTCACCTTAAATTATTTGAATGACAGTGGTTCTCCACAAATTTCATTACAGAGACCAGAATAGTCCTTTATTGAAGCCCTTGCTGCCAAAAGAACAGACAAAATACAAATTTGACTTTGTGAATAAATTCAAATGTTGAAAATAGTAAACTAACATTGGAATATGACATTCAAAGGTCTTGAAAAAAACAAGTCCTTTGAATGTCATGGTTAATTTGAACAACAAAAATAAAGAAGAATAGCAGCTTGAATGCAATATTTGAAAGATTTTTTTATGTCTTGGCTTAGATCTAGAAGAAGAATCAATTTCTACCTTGTTTTTGGACCACACTAAATTCGAGCTCAACTAACAAGAACAGAAAAAACTTTAATGCAGGACAACACACAGCAGTTCCATCGGTCCGTAATAATAATTTTGATTATTGATAATCAAATGGACCTCTGAACATGAAGTTTGAGGAGCTCGGCTGCGACTAAACCTCGGTACCAACACCAACCACAATATCCCAGTGTCTTCACAAAGCCCGATTTATTTTAGCCGTATCAACGTCACACTTAACCATTTTAACCAGCCTTGTCAACAACACTGGCAGAATTACTTCAGTATAACAACAAAGTGCGCTTTCAGAAATCAGCTGCCAGGTATACTTGCACAGCCCAACAGTTTGCACAAGCAAACACTAGGGTGCCTGTAAAAGAGTTTCCCCAAAATACAGCAAGCTCACAAACAGCCGCCTGACACGTTGCCGGTGTGTAAGCAAGGACATCATAGTGTGACTGTTCCTCTGTGTGCACATGACTGTGCATGCAGGCAGCGACAAGCAGATGAACATTCAAAGGGTTAACCATTGTCCTTTACTGGAAACCAGCTGGAGTCATCGCCTCGGGGACAGCCAGCGCAAGCTGGGACTTGATGACTTCATTGTGGCTTCATCGCTTGACAGTGACGACTGCTGTGCGACAACACACGCACCTACTCCTTACGGTCTTATCAGCCTAATGGTGCTCACCTCCTGCTTTTCAGGCCTAAACTAATAACACTTCGAAGTTCTGATTAATTGGCTCTAAAGGCTCCACTCTGAGTTCATGATTAACTCCGTCGTTATTTAAGCAAGGTGGTCCCATGGGAGAATTGTATTTTCCCATGGGTGTGCTGAGGATAAAAAGAACAAATAAAAAAGAAGAGACAATAAAAGTATAAAAAGAAAAACATTAATCAGAACATGAAGCTGTAAATTGATGTGAAGATAAAAGAAAAAAAGTCAATTGATAACCACATTCAATCAAAAAGTTCTGAATGAGAGCAAACAAAAAAACACTCAATTCTATAATATTTAGCAACAGAAGCGAGAATTAATGCGTCAGACTTCCTAGAACAGACGACCTGATTCAGGGTCAGAGTGGTTATCCAAGGACTTTGTAGAAGTGTCCTTGATTTATTTTCAAATTATTATTTTTTTTCCCCCTAGAAGATAATAGGTTTGTATGTCTCAAATCTAAAATATTCTCTGTCAATAATTCCCACAAGACCACCTTGCTGAAAACAAAGCAATCCTCTAAAGGCATACAAACATCAGTGACTCAATCAGCTGAAACAAAAATAATACTGCATAGATTATTTCATTCTTGTGGTGTTTCTAGATAATAATACAATATGTTATGGGAGTTCTTCTTCAGCTGCGTCTGGGTGTTGGCTGTCCGGCAGGATCAATGAAGACAGTAGCATGGCTGAGCTGCTTTATGAAGTTATTTTTTCCACACAAAAAAATAATAACAAAAATTAAAAATAAACATCACCTGCAATAACAAAAGCCAGAAAACTTTATTTAACTGAAATTAAAGATTGAGATGGGTTTAAATGTAGATCCATATCTAGCAGTACTAATTTTATTCCTGTGCTGGAACAATTTTCCTGCATACGCATTCAGATCTCGACAAAATTACTTAATACAAAAATGCCTGTGACACTTTTCAGATTAGTTTTATGCATTTCTAAAACAAAAGGCATGAACAAGGATCTCTGGTTGCGTGATCATCACAAAACCATGACAAAAAGGAGGGTAATGTGGGAGTGGTTTTTACCTCTACAGTGAGGTCCCTCATCCCAGCCATCCGAACAATCAGAAACTCCATCACACAGTTTGCTCATATGGATGCAGGCATCCAGGTCCAAGCAGCTGTGTTCATTGACTGGACACTGGTTTGGCCTGTGGTGTGAGCCTGGAAGACAAGCAAAACATCTGAATATTAGAAAAGGAGTTTTTTTTATTAATTTTTTCTATTACATCGGCCTTCTATAGTTCACGTTTAGATCTCAGAAATGAAATAAGAGAAAAGAGGAGTGGTGAAAATGAATAATCTCAGACGAAGAATATATTCACAAAGCTGGTTTTTCAAGCATCTTCGCTTTTCTGAGGCAGGTTTTACAGCCTTAACAACCAAAGACAATAGCCATCAACAGCAGATGCAACACCTTCTTTATTGTTCCAGAACCTGGAACAGGGTTGTTCTACCCGACACTGAAAGATCAAATTGTCACAGACGGCAGAATAATGACGATCTGTGGGTTGTCGTTTTTTTTTTTTTTCTAATCTTCTGACTGTTAAAGAACTGAATGTTCCCAGCATGTCATCTTGCTCAGACACAGAGCAAGATGACAGCCAAACATGTATGCATGCAGCCACTGTGTATGCCATGCAAATGATCACCTGTTCAGCAATCCTGAACATGTGATTATTTGCATGGAAAAAATGCAACATCAAAAACAGATTTTTCTTGTCAAACACATGTAACATCTGAATATAAAGAAGATGCAGTCTACTTTGCTCTCTCACCCTCCCACTCTTCGCTCTCTCTCTCTCTCTCTATTCAGCCTACACTGCAAACAGTTTGCCTTGGCTGTTTTCTCTTCCTCTTCTTTCTCCTCCTCCTCCTCAATCCCCCCCTTTTAACATCTGCTGACCCAGTTAAGAGAAACACTTGGAGGAAAGAAAATAAAGTTAAACTCCTACAGGAAATGATATGCAGAGTTCTAAGATGCATACATCTCAAGCTGTACAGATTTACATGTCCCTTACCACTAAACTCTCTGATCTTGAACTCATTCAGCTGTCACAGCTAAAATGTGGCTCCCTCTGACCCTCATGTCTGGTTACACAAGAATTAAGTTTATAATTAACCAATATGTGTGTTCCTACAGTAACAAACCAAACTGATTAATTATATCAGAAAAATACATTCTAATATTAGATAAAGATAATTGAGTCAAATCAATGGTTTAAATGTCTGGTAATTAGTTTTTCACATCACTGTGTCCATGTTTGGACAACTCTTCAATGCAGAATTGACTAATTTTAGTCGCAGTTGACAATGTTCTGGTAAAAGTCAAATCACAGCATATCAGTTGAATTTATGTTTAGATTTTTCTATACTTTTGAGCTTTTCAAAGGTGCTCTCTGCTTCAGACCACCAACCTGCTGCTTAAGTTTAAGATCATAAGCTGGTGTCCAGACATTCTCCTTCTGGATTTTGTGACAGAATTTAAGATCTGGCGTTACAGCAAGTCGTACAGATCGTTTGGCAGTGCAGCATCCCCAGATTATCACATTACCACAAAAGATCTTTTTCTGGAATGCAGTATCACTTTTAGTTTAGATGTATCAAAAAACACACTTTAAGAAAGTTGAACTTTTGTCTCATCAGTGTTGAATTTTATTCCAAAAACGTCTTGAGGATTTTAGAAAGGTTTTTTGGGGCAAGTCTCATGCTGTATTTGAGCAGCTGTGACTTTTGCCATGGATGCGGTGCTTCAAATGATGTCGAGTTCCCTTGTGACCTCTTGGATGTGTTGTTGACGTATGCAGTGTAATTCTGGTGGGCCACTAACTCCATTCATAAATATTATTACAAGAAACTAGAAAGAATGTGTTTTGAGGCCAACACTATCTTTCCTATCCATAGTTACCTAACAGACAAATTCTAACTGTTAGAACAATTGTTTTCAACTTGAGCTTAAAAAGATGATGGTATCACAGGTCGCTTTGTGAAAAATATATCACACTGGAAGAGAGAATGAACTTCTAATGTATCTGGATTATGGAAAAAACGGGATGTTAGCATATTAGCAGCCCTCCTACAGCCTGCGTCTCTAAGCCAACCTCATTTACATTCAATAACCTGCCAACGTGGGGATTTTTTTACATAAACAGCAAATGCTTAGAAAAAACAAAATCCTGCCAAGGGTTTAGCATCTGTCAACAGTGTTTAGGGAAGTATATTAAGATGAGTGAGACTGAAAGTCATCCAAGTGACATTAGCTGAAAGAATTTGTGTCTCTCCGAGCTTTAAAATGTGTAAGCTTATTTTGCAAACTGGGATGTGTTGAGCACTGAATGTTCTAACGGCTCATTCTTTAACACCGAATCAGGGATTAAGGTTCCTCCTACGTGGAGACGCTGAAAATTAACTTAATATCAAAGCGACAACAAGAGCTGCTCATTCACACACTCCTATGTTTCTATGCGGCATCTGAAGAGCAGGACAACTAAATTTCTCAACTCAGCATGTTTACATTTCATACCATGCTGTATCTCCAAAGGGCTTTTAATTTTAAAAGTCTTCATTAAATTGTTTCTCATCTTCGCTAGATATTTTTGCTATAGTAAATAGAGATGCATCAACAAATTGGCTGACATGTGACCCAATGTATAAGTTATAGTACCCACAATCACAACTAAACCACCCACCTTCCCAACCAGAAGGCCAAATAAACAAGCATGTAAATGTTATTATAGCAATAACTCTTACGGTTTACAATTAAATAGCTTGAAAAGAAGTTGCTTAATTATTTAATTGTTTCAAACAAAATAAAAAAAACCCAAAGTGATTCTAATCATTCTCCAGATCATGAGGAGCATTCAAAGAATCAATATGCTGCAAAGAAGGGCTCAAATCAAGTCATAAAGTGACTTGACTAAACTATTAAGTGAGCACTTCAACTTCTCCAGCTGCAACGCTGAGCTATTCTGATAGGTAAACACAACAAACTTAAGCAACAGCAGGTCACGTCGATCGCAATAGTTTGCTGTGGATACAGTTACCGATGTAAGACCATTCATGTAACTCAATTTGGCAGAAGTGAGGTGTTTAAAAATGAAGTCACAGGAAGTACAAGGAGATTAAGGCGAGAGAGCAAGAGAGCGAAACATGAAGCAGATAACAGGAAGGCTGAACATAATATAGCAAATTTGCTCAAGCCTAATCCCTAGTCTGGCACATGTGATAATATGGCAAAGAACATACTGGATGCAAAAATGTTTGCAAGCCTTTGGAAACCACATAATTATGGAACACACAGACTAGAGTTTTGGTAGTGCTAGCCATCTTAATGGTTCATGTAAGAGGCAAAAGACAGATTAAAACGGTAATTTATAAAACAAAATCTTTTAGTGATTTCTCAGAGGTCTCGGCTCAGCAGCAAATATAAAAAACAATGACCACTTAGATCAGGAAGGACAGAAGTATCTTAAACGATGTTCTTATATCTTAATACATTATATTTCTTAAAGAGCTATTGAAACCAGATAAAAATCTGAATCAGTCTTTTTAAAACCCACAGATGGAAAACCTTAACCAACCCCTGTCTCTACCACTCCAGTCCCAGGTAGCATGACCGCGCGCTCTCTGGGCTGGAGGTCTGCGCTCTTTACAACTTTTCTCTAGTTTTGTACACAAACCGAGTAGACGGCAAAGTTTGAAATATCAGAACTTATTCAGCAAATGTGTTTCCATCACCCCGTTTTGGATGAACTCCTTTTGGAAAGTCCCCCCCAACCCCCCCAAAAAAACTATTCAAGTGAAAACTTATTTCTGAGGATGTTTCTTTGAATCTTGTCCACATCATCTTGTGAATGTGTACGTAAATGAGTGAATGACTGAATATAATGTGAAGCGCATTGGGGTCCTCTGGACTTGATAAAGCACTGTACAAGAACAGGCCATTTACATTCATTACTTGAAATATGAATGTGAGTTTCAGTAACCAGTAAAGACTTAAAACTTAAACACTAAACTTACTATGGGAATAAGAAAACAACCTGAATGAAAGAGATTTTTTTACCATCACTCAAACTTTATTATGTGGACATGAAGCAAAGTGAAAGCAGTTTTTCTTTCAACGTCTTCTTCGTTCAACACCTCCAGCTTCGTATCCGACCATCCCCCACCCTTCAGGACTCATATACTTATGTAACAGCCTTAAATGTAGAGCCCCTGTCGATCCTTTGTCTGGACTTTAAAAAGCCTGTGTTTCCTTCTGCTCAAGGGTTCCATGGCAGCCCCTGACTGGCTCCAAAACAGTCTGCTGTCAGCTCTGATTATTATGTTATTCATTCTGACAGCCGGGCCCGTCCACTGACCAACTCTCAGCACTCTGGAATCACATTATACAACCTACTCCACAACAAGCCCAATGGCTGTGCCAAAAAACAGAAAAAGGAAGCAGTCTCTACAGAATTAATATTTTGCTCATTCTTATTTGCACTACAGTTTTACATCAGTCAGATTAGATGACTGACGTAAATTAGACACCGCCGGTGAAAATCAATTTTCAGGTCTTGCCACAGATTTATACCAGGATTATGACAGGGTCATGCTAACACATCAATATGCGTTGATCTGAAACAATGTCACTGTAGATTTGGCTGTATGTCCCCCAAACGGTTTGCAGGATACATGGGATGTGGGTTCCTGCAGCTTTCTTTCAATAATGGTTTCTTCTATCCAATATTCCATAAAGGCTAGATTTGTGGAGTGCATTAGTTACAGCTGTCCGATTGACATGTCGTTCCACATAAGTTATTGTAGCTCCCTCAGAGCTACTACCAATCTCTTGGCTGTTTCTTAAATTAATTATCTCCTTGCATGGCCTGTCAGTTTATGTGGATGGCCATATTTTGCAAGGTTTGCAGTTTTGCCGTCATTCTTTTCTGCTTTTGATTAGGTTTTATGATGGATGGATTTTACTAGGAGGTATAAGACAAAGGCAGCAAAATACAGATGCACATATCGTATTTTAGATTTTCTGTTCGGCTTTTTGTGTGAGTCCATAACATGAAATCCCCAAACTAATATGCTACAACCACAAAATTTAACCTGACAAAAAGTTATCGAGTTCAGGGGATAGTGTAAACACTTTCAGGAGCGGTATTAAAAGTTATCAA